ATATATTTTCACTAATTGGTTGAGAAATGTCGTTAAATATGCAAGGTCTTATAGTGTAGCGGTCATCACGTCTCCTTGACGTGGAGAAGGTCCCCGGTTCAAGTCCGGGTAAGACCAAACATACTTTTTACGCACTGTAGAGCACTCCAAACAATTTTAAAACCATATTTTTGATTAAATCGATTCTTTATTTTTCATTCTTTCATTAGCGACCCTGTTTCACCCTCATTATTGAACAATACATGCACCCATCTCATTGTGCTTGCTACCCACCTAAACGAATCCTCGGCGACCATTTCGTTGCCAAAATGTCATGAGCATACTACATGTTTTATTGAAACAATTCATAAATATACATTTCCCTAATTTCAAAAAGCCCACTGCATCGTCCCAGTGCGTCCATTTTTGCACTCATTTCGACGTCAAATAAAAGTCCACCCAAAATTCAAAAATCGTTTTTCATCAATTACACATATTCCTCCATGCGATATATTTACCATCTCCTGCAACTTTGCTCGCCGTTTCTTGGGGCCATCAAATGCTAATGGATAGAGTGTATTTAAATTAAAAATCAATTTTAGAGCATTCTTTGCAAAGCCCGACTCATTTTTGGTACTGCACACATTCAAAATATTACCGTCGAGCTGTGCGACTAGATGTGCTCAATGAATATATTTGCTTTTTTATTTTTCCTTTTTTAGCCATTTAAGTGGCGAGCCCATGCCGGCGTGGACGCCGAGGAGCCAAATCTTGCTCCAAAACAAAATTCGCTGATACTTGGCATGTCGATAGAGAATGTTTTGGAGATCTCGAATCACCCTATCTCGTCGTCGAAAGGGTTGTGTAGCACGAGATTTTTCGATTTAACCGTGTCTATTTTGCTCGACGAGTAAAACGCATTTAAATGTTTAAATACGAGAAAAAAAGCACAAAAACTACTGTGAATGGTCGAAATGAGATGTTTGGAGGCTGTGAGTGCTATGGTGTGGTCTTTGTTGTCGCAGTGTGATGTAAAGTGGCTGAATCGAGATGCAGTACATCCTTGCCTGGTTATGAACAAGCGTCCGGACGCTGAGCTCCGACGACCCGATACCATTTAGCCGAAAATGCGTATACTGAGTGGTGCTTCACGCGGTCAAGCTCCAAGCCCATTCGCACCCGCTCGACAGGACCGATCAAGAGCGCCTCTTTTTTGCCCCGCTTTGGAGACACATCACCACTTCCTCATACTAGTACTACTAGTACACTGTAGTAGACTTATTTGGTGGTCCGAGTAAAGGAGCCTGCGTACGACCTCGAGCGAGCTATCGCTCGGCGAGAGGGGTCCACCACGGGATGGATCTCTCCGTGCGCAGCTCACTCCCAACGACCAAGTGCTGGTGCCATCTCCCACGCATTCAGGCATATCACGACGTATGCGAAGTCTTTGTAGTGAAGATAACGCGGAACACGTTGATATACATGTTTATAGTGGACTTTATCAAGGGAGTGTGGGCCACGCTCCACGCGGTCGCGGATCCCTTGCGCGTGGTCTCACCTTTCGACGCACAGGACGGCTTCCAACATGCACAGACCAGCGTTCCATTCCTCTGGTCCGTGCTCCAAACTTGTCTGGCTCAACGTCTGGCGATGCCTGAATGATTGCGTCATCCTCGAAGACCCACCATGGCTGAGTCCATGGACGGTTTCCGTTGAGGCGGCGCGAGTCGCTGAATTGCACCTGCGCCACAGCCTTGTTCACGAGCCCGATCTCAATTCGTAAGGGTTAATGAAAGATTTACCATTGCCTTTGCCTTCTCCGGCTTCTCGCACAACACAAGCGGTCGCACCCGGCTCGCTCCAGTCTTTGTCTGCCTAACGTTAAAGTGCAAACGACGCCCCTCAAACGAGCGTACACAACAAGGGCGCGGTCGATTGGAGCTGGTTTCCGGATAAATTCTGACCAATCATAGACATGGCATTTCTGGCTCTGTGACTTCATCTATTGGCAACCGCGAAAGAATGGAGCTGCCCGCAACCTTCCGAGCATTTCTCGTCGACCATGGCATTGAACAGCGCGTCTACGACGTAAGCTTGACTGCGCTTCCACGATACTTTCGGTACTCCAGGTAGCCGTCAAAGCGCGGTCCCCAACGTTCTTGTAGGATCAAAGACAGCTCCGTGACGGTCGAGCAGCTCCAAGCCGAGTTTCCCGGCGTGCAGCCCGTTCCCTGGTTGAAGTCGTTTTACGCTGTTTCATCGCTTGACGCGCTCTCATCAAGTCGCTTGTATACGTCGGCAAAGATCTATGGCATGGAGGCCAGCTCTGGCTTTGCTGTCGCGATGTTGGACCCGCAACCAGGTCTGCGCACGTTCCGCTTCGTACTCATTCTCAACTCTGTGTATGATGCCTTAGGCGACCACGTTCTGGATCTATGTTGCGCACCTGGCGCTAAATTAGCCATGCTGGCCGACGTCTTGGGTCGTCGTGGTAGCATCACTGGCGTACGATGCAACGGAGGTAACCAATGCGGTTCCTAACGCAAATCAACAATAGGTCGACTATTCCAAGAATCGTATCTCGGCCTGCCGATCGCTCTTGCACAAGTACGACCTCGTGCAGTCGCTGCCGGACACACCATGGCGCTGCCGCCTCTTTCATGCTGACGGCCGACGCTTTGCCGAGGGCACACCGACATCCAGCGACCCGAGCGCTGCAGTCCACGACAGTGTATTGGACGTCATTTTGGACTCGGCCGAAGTTGAAAATCGCTCCAAAAAGTCCATTGCACGCAAGCGTATGAACAAAAGGTGCCTCCTTTCACAGTGCGCTCGTAGTCTTATTTCTGCCAAACTAGCGCCCGCGCCCGCGCACTCAAGATGCAGCGCGAGGCCTCAAGTACAGCGACTGCGTCTCGTCTCTACGACAAGGTGCTTGTTGACGCTGAGTGCACTCACGACGGGTCGCTTCGACACTTGGCCAAACTCACGACGGCCGACGCGTGGCAGTCGTACCTCGAAAACTACCTCTCGCCGTCGCATGTTGCGGGGATTCTGGAGCTCCAGCACGACCTCATCCGAAATGGGTTTCGACTCCTTGTACCCGGGGGTCGTATGGTCTACAGCACGTGCAGCTTGTCGCTCAAGCAAAACGAAGAGATCGTCGCGGCCTTCCTCAAGGATACTCCAAGTGCCTCTTTGATGCCCATTGATACGACCAATGTACCGTGCCAGGTACGATCTCCGACATATCTTGTACGATGGTTGCGCTCACAAAACTCAATATATAGCCTGGGAACATACTGCATACGGTGCGCTTTACGCCCCTTCACGACATAGGCGGTCTATTCATTGCGCTCTTCACAAAGGCTACAGACGAGGCAGATGTGCCAGCCAAGCGGCAAAAGACGGAATAAGATGATAATCATCACGATTTTGGCGCGGCTTCCCATGCTGAGCGCATCACTGCTGTCGACTCGGTCGCATACAGCCGTGACCACGGAAGCTTTTGGATAAGCGACTTGTGGCGACTTCGTTGCCGGGTTTTGGCTTGCTTGTTGAGACGCGGCGGATGCGCACTCGCAGAAGGATGGTCTTTCCAGTCAGGGATCACCAGCTCGGGGTATTGAAGAGCGCTGGGCTCTGGTTCGGCGACCGTCTCGGGCAGTGGTGCTTCTATTGGTTCTGGATCGCTTTTTTGTGCAAGGATCGACGTCAGCAGGGAAAATTCGTCAACTATTGGTATCTCCATTGGAGTGCATCTACATAAACGTAGAATATGAGAGCGACCGGAAGGATGCACGGTGCATTCGAACGGCGTCTCGACAACATCGTTGCGCGCAGTCTTCAACGGACTCTTGGGCGGACTTGGCTTTCTCGGTCCGACAGCATCCCGCGTCTCAATGTGCACTTGCCAGATGGGCTGCCACGGCAGATCCGATGCGAGAAGTTGCTTGGGTAGCACCATTGGCGCGGCGTGCTTTCGGTGTCGCGGGCTACAGACGCGTGGCGGGAAGCGAAGCAGATTTTCATGAACGAGGCTGTGATGCTCGTCGCCGACTTCGTCAGCTACGCATGACACTATTTCCACCATCAGTGAGCAAGATGAAAACGTACGGCTCTCGAAAGCCTTTGTAGGGCTAGCGACATAGCGCTCCAGCGTCGTATTGTGCTTCTCTTGAAGCGCGACCTTGACATGCGAACCATCCACAAGGTCCTACACGCACCGGCATGCCGTAAATAGGTGTTACCATCCACAACTTTATTACCCCGAGGTATGTGGCCGTGGATTGATACTCCTCAGCGCTAAACACACCATGTTCGAGCACCAGCTTGGCGTCAGGGGCCCGCGCTAGCTGCTTGAAAAGCTCGTCGTCACTGTACACAATGTCAAACTGCCCCTTGAGATTCTGGAGTGTGTGCAATCGTGCTTCCTTCTCGGCCGCACGCGCGCGCAGCTCTGCAAGCGTCGGCTGCGTCGTTGCCATGTGCGCAAAATATGAGCGCAGTGCCACGGCGTCGTGGTTGACATCTCGGTCGGCCCCTGGTCGAAAACGATACCACCTGCGTACAAGCGCATCGCATACCTCGCTGCTTTGGCCGGTCATTGGCCGTACGGGGTCGTTGTGGCGCTGCATGGGCACGCGGCGTCGACTCTTGAACGTGATCACGACGAGCGTCGGCGAGCTTGGCTTGCGCTTCTTGGCGACTGTGTAGTCGGCTTGAATATATCTACGCCCAGACGTCGCGCGTACCACAAACAGTGCATGTCGTGCCATACTTTGGACCGTAGAGAGGACGACGGGCGCGCGCGGACATCAATTTGGGTCCCTTCAAAGATGTCCGGCAGCGGGCCGGTCGCCATACGAACGTCGCGCGTCCGTTGCCCCGCGACTGTTTCACTCGCGACGGTCGACGCTTCGGTGGTAGTCACAGCCATAGCCGGGCGCTGGACGGCGGTGACCGACATGGCTGGTTGTGGCGCTGTGTCGCCGTACGAGAGCAAAAACTACGCGCAAAATGACCCCATTGTTTGCAAAACAAGATTCACAAACCCGAAGCTCAATCGTACTAAAGAGAACCGCGTAAAAGAGTCCCGTCATTGGCGCCGATGCGAGGGCGTAAGTGCGTTCGGTGCCATGCAATATTGCGTGGCTCTGGTATCGGTACGACGCAACACCCGTCACGTCGTGCTTGACGAGGTAGATGCACCCAAAGACAGCACTTGTTTTCGCCGATGTTGGTTCGACCGAGAGCGATAACTGCGCCAGGTTTGGCTGCACGTGGTTGAAAGCAAACACGCGAACTCGCTTGGCAGCGACGGAACCATAAAAGTCTGTTTGGAACTCGAGTGCCGCCGGCTCTTGCAACACACACGTGACCTACGTCGATCGTGCATGGTACATACATTGATGCGAGGCAGCGTAGTACGTGATACGTCGTCTCGGTCGAGCTAGAGGCTGCCGGCAGCACGCGCACGCGCAGCGTCTCGAACTGAAGCGACGTGATATCGGCTTCACTGGGCTTGTACACGACGAGCGCTGCGGGAATGTTCTCAACTTTCCACACCTCATCTTGCGATGCTGCACTCGAGTCGACAGCGCGCACAACAAGGTCCAAGCGTCTACGATGGTGGTTCCGGCGTCAAAATGACATTTCGTTGTAGTCGTACGACGTCATGTCGAGCGCGAGGCAAAGCACAATGAGGGGCAGTTTTGTCGGGAAGAGCTAGAAAACATGGGGACTTGGTTGGGCTCAATTGGATGCGTCGTACTGCAATGTGATGGGATGGGGCAGTGGCAAACGCGTTGGGTGCAACTGAGTGCGTATAAGTCTTCCCGTGGTCGACAAGGACGGCATTCGGGTCGAGTGATGTTGTCTCGTCCGGTGCTGAAAGCTCCGCGTAGTGCAGCTTTGGGATTTCGGCAAATTCGTGCGCGAGGCGAAATCTGGGCAACTACTGAGATACATTTTGTGTTAAGCCACGTACTTGATTTTTGCTTCTTGAAGAAAGAGAAATATCGTGTCAAGCGCGCCGGCCTACGGCAGTTAGCGAGCTACCAATAGAGCACTCTAGTGGCGTGGTGTACCGTGCACGCGGTGGCCAAATCCAAAAGCGAAATGGTAAATGGATGAATGTCCATGAGGGATGGGAATGGAGTTGTTGCCCTAACCATAGGTTGCAGCGACTCGTTTTCATGCAAAAATGATGGGGCGTACGAAGCACCCACGAGCAAGTCGATCGCCCAATCGTTCTACAATGCCGTTGTTATGTGGTATTCTCGGTAGGTAGATATGCATGAACAAGAAACCTCGACGAGGTGCAGCACTTCTGGAAAACCGATATCGGGAAGTAGACCTCGAAAAAGCTTGGCACTAAAACGAATGTAGTCGTCCTTCGTAATAGGAATCTACACAAGCGATTAAGACCACTTCATCGACATCCGTGCGCTTACATTATGATTGCGCTTGAAGAGAATCGGGTTGAAGTGGGCAAGAGGCCACCACTCGCAGCGGATGTACTCTAGAATGTTGGGATCGACGTAGGCCTCGGCGAACGACGAGATCTTTTTGCTTGGAGATGCCATGACCTTGGGCTTTGGCTCCTACTCGTTGTGTCGATAAGACCCGTCACTTAGACAACGTCATTACAATCACGTGTAGTGGCAATGGATCTTTCCGAGCGTAGCGACTTGCCAGTAGGTAGTACCCGCGCGGGTTCCTGATGCTTTTGACGCCCCGCTTGGCGCGCCGGCGAAGCACGCTGGCGTAAATGGCCTCAAGCTCCTTGAAGTCGTAACCATGAAAGTCCCAGTCATCCCTGGTAAGGTCGGCTCGAAAGGCACGACCCTCAGCCATGCCGTCTCGGGTTCGCACTTGTATGTTCGCGGTGTTTCGCGTTGGTTTCACCTCGTGTCCCGCCCATCTGGCGGCCTTTTCCTGTGGCGACCCACAATCAATTTCCGTGCGCGCTTTGCAGTGCATCTCCACGCAGGACGTGTTAGATTCCAAGCCAAGTATGCAAACAAGCTCTTTCTATCGTAGAGCGGATAAATAGCGTGCATGCTGTCTCGGCTTTTGTTCTTGAATGCGGCAAAGTTCCACATTCACCGCCGTCTGGCAGCTTAGAGCTTCGATTTCCAGGATGAATACTGAATCGGACTTAAATCGCACGAAACATAGAACCACCAGCTGAGTAATCAAACGGCGATCTATGAGACGAAAAGGAAAACTGAAGAGGCACCTCACGAATCGAAACCGCTGCCATGAAGCCGTTCCTTTCTGCGCTTCAACTTCATTGCTCGGCCTTATTTCATTGGCCAGTGTGCAGCAGGACGCGATCAAGAGGTGCCACGTCACTAAAATGTCACATTTCGATGGTTTCACGACATATGTATACAACGCGCGGAGCCACGAAAACGCACAGTATTGAAGTTGGCGGCAACAGCACACTCATGGACGCCCCCGAAGTCGATGTCCATTGCATCGCTGAAGGCAGCCGTTCTAACGCATCGAGCCCGACAAACGTCGGCCCTCGTGACTCGCTTGTTGTCCGGCGCCTCTACCGCGTCACCTACTCGGACGACTCGCTGAAGGAGCGCTTTAACCAGATTGTGCGCACGACGCTACGCCTGGCCAACGCCACGGAGACGAGTAACAACGTTCTTTGGCGCAAAAGGCTATCAAGTACCGACGGCGTCACAGCGACTTGATCAACTACGACGACCCGAGCGCGGACGTGTTCGAGAGCCTTGGTATTAAATGGTGCAAAACGCCGTAGTCGCCGACTTGATGAGATTTGTGTATCCTATTCATGTAAATGAATGACGTTTGTGGGGTCCCGGTTCGAATTGAAGCTGCGTCGACAAGCCACACGCCCACACGACTCGAGACCCTCTTCTGGCTCGGCGATGGAGTGTGCCAAAGAAAGCCGACTGGACCCGAGAAGGTATTTCCACTTAGAACAATGGTATTGACAGCGATTTGGCCAATCACGTGAGCTGCATGTTAAAACGCACGTCTGCGACACACGGGATGCCAATTGTGCGACAAGAACGCGGGCCATCGTCAGTGCGGGACGACGCACTCGTATCATCGCCGCGTGGGGCTGCGATGCCGCTGCGGCACGCCGTAGCTTCATACTGCTCTCCAGCGACATGCCACGCGGCTACGAACGGCACTCCAGCGACACACCGTCCTTTGCTGTCTCTCCTGCACCTCTGCGACTGCTCCGAGCAGTATGTTAGTCTTCTTTCAAGACCCACGACCTTGACTCACCACATCTCAAGCGCGCTTCACAAACGACCTGCACGTATCAATATGAGCGTGCGGAAGCCTCGGTATCGCTTCTACTATCGCGACGATGCCACAAAAGAGCGATGCGATGCGTGCCTCCGCGCCATGCTGCATTTCGCGCAACAACCAAGCGCGTCAAGCATCAACGCGGATCTCGCGCAACGCGCTCTTCGCTTTCGTCAACACTCGATTGAGCACCTCGAAATCGACGACTCCACGCAAGATGCCTTTGAGCGTCTCGGTGTTGTCTGGCACAAGCTGCACCCTACGTCACAATGAGTGAGCAAAGACAATGCAGCCCCTCGCACGATTCGTCGACATCGAGGCGACATCGCCTTAACTAATAAAGGTTCGTGATGAACCACATCGTCAACGATGGCCACATCTGGCCTTGTCCAACAGCAGAGTCGAGATGTTGGGACTGATATTGGATGCCATTTCGCTTCTTCAGCGCGCGCAACAAACGAAATACACGAGCAGTGCGCACAATGCAGGCAGTGCGGAAATTAGTTGAAATCTCCCTTGACAAATGCTAACGTTGGGCTGCCTGGTTTCTTTCGCTGGCCCAGAGCCAATAGCACGGAAATCAATTAACTTCGTAGTCCACTGACGGGCGAGCGACAGAAGCTCACTCGCACATAAGCCTCGCGAACCTCCGAAACGACGTCGAATCGCTTCAAAAAGCCGTCCCGAATCGATCGTACAGGCTCTACGCGATTCGTCCTCATGTGCTATTTCGTGATGCCGTTCCAGTGTGCACGATGCAGCATGCAATCAATCACGCGATCAGCACTTCCGTTCGTGTATCTTAATGCAAGTCGCTAATGCACCGTGCTAAGATCCATTGTACTCTTGATTGTACCTACAAGACCTGACGCGCACAGAGGGCATCAGATCATTGCCGCTCAGTCCTTTTTGGAGTTGTCTGAAGAGCTCGATGCGGGGTGATTGACGTTAGAGGGTGCGGTTGTTGCCTAGCCACCAGTCTCGGGGACCGTATTCAGCCCACGTATTCAGCCTACCCCATCTTCATTCCCATCGTGCACATCAATCTCGCGGGACGACCGTAGAACTCGGCGTGCGGCGAACAAGAATCCCGTCTATATTTTTGTGTGCCGTAGCGCAGCGCCCTAATATATTGGTGGCGACGGGTGAGAATGGCCAGCGACGTCAATCCACGGGAGCAGAGCGTGTCATCGCCAACTTGATTCGCATCGACCTCATTCTCTGTTGAGCGCGACCCTATATGACCAAGTGCCGCGAAAAACTTGATGGTGCCATCAGGTTTTTCGTTCGTCAGCTTTATAAGCAAGAACAACAGCATCGCCGGCGTTTCAGCATTAAAATCCACATATTTGATTAGCCCACGACTTCCATGGTGACCAATGGGCGCGCCACGTCATCGGGCGCCCAAAATTGGTAGCTCTAAGCACGGAATGTTATCGGCTTAGTAGGTTTACTTTTCATTTTGCCACGTGATCCATCCACATGAGCTCCACCGAGGTTGTAGTCGCACCAGAGAGCCATGGGTGCGGGACACGGCGCCACTATCGACTGTCCTACTCGGACGATTCACTCAAGAAGCGCTACGACCATATCGTGCGCACGACGCTCCGCCTCGCCAACGCCACGGACGTCACAAACAAGAACGTACTCTTGGCCCAGAAGGCCATCAAGTACCGGCGGCATGGAAGCGACCCAATCAACTACGACGACCCGAGCACGGATGTCTTCGAGAGCCTTGGCATCACGTGGTGCAAAACACCGTAAGCAAGAGCGTACCTCGATATATGTACAGTCAGTCGCCGTCGTGTAAGAGCTGCAGTCGATGCTTGTTTGGTAATGTGTGCATTTGCTAAACGTCCAGAAATACAGATTTGTGTTCACAACTTTGATGTGGTTGGGGGCTTGCGCTGTGCAAGGGCCGCCTCGCGACCCGTCGAGCAACGAAAAATGCGCCTCATTACGTCCTTACTTGGAGCCGAATTCAGCTTCCCACGCGGCGAACCGATGCAATTGGTCGGTACCGACCGACTTGGACACGTTCCCAAGTGCAACGTGAAAATCTGCCTACAACATTTTCCGCATCAGAATCCAAGCGGTAGAATGCGCCCATATTGGAATGCGCCACGGTTCCGACCTTGGTGACAACGAGCGACTGCTCTTTGAGTTCCCGCAAATCCCGCTCGGAACACGAGCTTGCTTGAATCTACGCATACGCTTGCTTTACCCACCCTATATGCCGACATCCCGTACATCTTGGAGAAGCTGCGGCGTATACACCCTCTTGACCGTCAGCAGCTTGGCTACATCAACGAGGTTTGTTCAACGAAGGAGAGGACACAGAGCAACAAATATGTACCGGCTTCACAAATGTTGGTGATGTCGTCGCCGCTGTACCCCTACACCGTGCATAGTTCATTTTTCAAGTATATTGCTCTACATACCTGCGTTTGATCGGCGAGTTCATCGAGGACGACGTCGCGCGCCAAGCTCATCTTGCGCAAGTTGAGTTGAAAGAGTTCCCGTCGCCCGACAAGCTCCGGCAGCGGAATATCTACATAAGAAGAATGCCATCGCCACGCACTCTCGAGGTCCGACGACGTACACACGCGTTTTGTGAGGCGTCGGCGCATCGCTTCGTCCAGCTCCCACGGCAAGTTGGTCGCGGCGAGCACCATTACTTGCTTGGCGGCGTCAGTCGCGCCGTCCTCTTCGTTTAGAATGCCATTCATTTGCACGAGCAGCTCGGTCTTGACGCTGCCACATACCATAAGTGTATTCAGGTGATTGGCGGCATGATATCATACCGGCGGCTCGCTTCGTGCTCTTGAGCCGTGCCTCGCGCGCCCGCAATCGCGTCGATCTCGTCCATGAAGATGATGGATGGAGCGTAGTAGCGCGCCATCTCAAAGAGAATGCGCACCATGCGCTCCGACTCGCCTCGGTACTTGCTCGAGAGCGTCGAGGCCGAGACATTGAAGAACGTTGTGTTGCAGACGTTGGCGACAGCCTACAGGGCTTGTAGCCACGGGCTTGGATCGCAGAACGTACCTTGGCGAGGAGGGTTTTGCCCGTGCCCGGCGGACCAAAAAGGAGAACCCCATTGCACGGCTTGAGTGGCCCGTCCTCCTATTTGAGAGTTTGATGAGATGCAGTATGGAGGGACAACAAGCCTACGGTGAAGAGGTGGGGCGCGAACCGCGGCAGCATCACGGCCTCCTTGAGCAGGTTCTTGACATGGTCGAGGCCCGCAATGTCTTCAAATTGAACTTTGGCGCCGCGATCGACGATATCCCGCTCGATGGCTTCGATCAGATCCAAGTCGACACGCCGCTCGGCACGCGCAATGTCCGAGTACTTGGGAAGGCCTTCGTCGGTGCTCGACTCGGTCGATGTCCGAGGCGACGTATATAGCGGCTTGGACGAAAGGGATGAGGATGGTACGTTGCGAAGAAGATTTGACTGCGCGAGGCTACTCTCCATGTGTGGTGGCTCGTACGCCATCGCCCTTGCTCGCGAACTCATGGCACGCGTCGGTCCCTTGGGCTCGCCTACGTCACCGATGAGCACCTCCATATGCTCGGGGATTGTACTCGTGGTAGTGTATGAGATGCTGTTGCGTTTGAGATATGGGTGTTTGCTCTGGTTCTTGGTCGCAGCGGCGCTGTCCTTGGCCCGTTTCCTCTTGGCGGGCAGCGTCCTTCGCTCCTTCTACATGCAGAAACATACAATGAACCTCCTTGGGCGGCGCCATCACCGTACCTCGCTCGCTGCTGGGTTCTCCTTCTCATCGGTACGACGCGGTCGTTTCTGCACGACAAACTCGTCGTCGGTCGGCAGCCGCTTGAACGTCACGCTTGGACGCGGCTTGGGCACTGGGACCTCGTCGAGGAGCGAGCGCAGCTTGGTCTTCTTGGGCTGGATCTGAATCTGCTGGAAAAGGTCCAGCGTCGTGGTGTAGCGGTGGATGACCGCGTACTCGGCCTTGAGGCTCTCGACCAAGGCGTGCAGCGCGCGGTCGTCTCGGCTAGACCGGCGGGCGAAGATGGCGTCGCGGATGCATGCGCGGAAGATCTTGCTCCCTTCGTCGTAGAGCCCGAGGAGGCAGCGCTCCCGGGCCACGGCCGCTTGCCGCACGAGGTCGTCCATGCCACGCTCAGAGTCAACCTTTCGGTCGCGGGCGGTATATCCGGATGAGGTCCGGATACGCTAAATCGGATCGCCTTTGGCGCGCAGACCAGTTTGATATCTAACCACACACCACTTACTGTGGTTTGCGGACACGAGTCGCCCAGCGAGACTCGTATTGTTCGGTCACGCTCTCGATTGGCAAAAGTGGATCGCGACACTACGGACTCATTAGATGCACACGCAGTGTGCCTGCGATTTCTTAAAATTGCTCGGATTCAACAGAACACGCAGGACCAAAAGCGTGTTTTACCTTGTGTCACAGCAGCTCCAAGGTGTCAGCCACAGAAAGATTATATCAAGGAAATATACCTTGGATTATATCAACACGTGGACGAGCCTCACAAGACGAGTCGCAGATCATGTTGGTGTACTCGCATCAAGTCTCCCCGCTGGTCCCTGGTCTGCCAACTTCAAGACCCTCGTGGTGGTGACCCGTACCCCAAGATACATACAGTATATAACTTTACATGTTAGCTCGCATTTGCAAATAATGGCATGAATACTCTCAGGCAGCGCTGATGGCTAGCATTGGCATCAACCTCCGAGTCGTGTACACGTATTTTTATTGGCCCCTTTTTGCACAATTTTTGACCAATCACAAACATTTGTAGAAGCATGCACGACGCAGAATCCCATTTCAAGCCGCTCTGTCGGCCACGACGCGTCAGAATGAAAAATCGCTCATACTCGACTCGATGATTGAACAGACATCTGAGAGCACAAAACGCTATGTCTTGCCGGCGTGCGAAGCGTACAACGCACGATATGGACTTAATTCAAATTATGGCAAAGCCGTATTTACCACATATTATAATGTCGCTAAATATGGCTTCGATTTCCTAGTGCATTCATACAATCCTTGACAGTATTAATAATACTACACAAGCAGAACACAAGACTCGTAGCATCAACACACGACAGCATTCGTTACGCTCTAGTCTACGACTGTTTGCACATTTCGTCTTGGGTGGACCGAGGATTGCCCTGTGCCGTGTTGAGTCGCGGTACAGGACCGTCGAGGTTGAGCTTGGGCTCGAGAAGCGCGAGCTGGTCTTCACATTGCTTGACAAGCACGTTGACTTCGTCGAGCTGGTGCTGCACGACACTCTTCTTGCTGTCGTAGGCCTTCTTGAGCATAAAGATGTCTTGCTTGGCCTGCGTCTTGAGGTCGGCCATGTCCTTCTTGTGCGCGGCCTTGGTTTCTTCCATTTGGCGCGCGCAGCCCGTTTCGAGGTCAAAGAGCGACTGCAGATGCGCCGTCTTCTTGGCGTTCAGCGACCGCTCAAGCTCTGCGACCTTGGCCAGCGCACTGCGCTGCTCGCTATACAGACTCTTTTGCTGGCTATGCAGCGACGTCTCTATGTTGAGGATGTCCATGGCCGCACCGTGCACCAGAGCCTCGCGCTTCTGCCGCTCGAGAAGCGCTTGCTCCTCGATCCTGAGCGTCTTGGCCTTGATTCGCTCGATTTCGCGCTCCGTGGACGCGACGCGCGCTTCGTGCTTGCTTGTGACACCTTGAAGGTCGAGAAGGAGCCGCTCCAAGTCCATGCTACGCGAGACATAATCATGAATACCCTTCGAGGCACATTTGGTACGGAAAAATACCGTTTGTCTTCAAGCTCCGCCGTCAGCGTCGACTTGAGCGACGAGAGCTCCTCCGTGCGCGCAGAAAGCTCGCGTTCAAACTCCTTCCGGCGATCGCTCGTGTCCGTTAGCGCGTCTGCGGCCGTGAGCTCGGCTAGTTCTTGCTCCAGCGTCGCTTTCTCCTCCTACACAGTACAGCAGGAAGCGTGAGAACAGCCTCCAATGCAGATAGCGCGTACATTGGCGGCAGCCATGTGCTTCTCAAAGAGCCCGAGCACCTGCTTGCCCCACTCGACGACCGACCCGAGGATGTGGTCGCTTAAGTACACTTGCAGCGACGGGTACATGGCGACACCAAGACCGGCTTCTGGGTCGTACGCCGAGCTGGACGACCCTTGGTGGTTGCGCGCGGTCGCGCCGGCCTTGTACTCGGCCAGAGCACGCTGAAGGTTGCTTTTGAACCCCAAAAGCGTGGCTTGGAGACCATCCGGAAACTCGTCACGAGGTCGCTGTGCCAGCTCTGTCGTCGTCTCAGTGAGCGAGAGCGGGTGCAGCGTGGCCAAGAGCGCCGTGCACGTCTCCTGCGAGAGCTCTGTTGCCGACGCAAGGGCCTTGGCATACGCAGCATCAAGGGTCGCGAGGAGCGTGGTGATCTGGCCTTGGAGCAGCGTTTGGGCCGCGGCGTTGGTTACAGGGATCTGCTGCGATAGCGTGTAAACCTCGACAGACGCGGCGCGGAGACTCCTAAGGTGGGCCAAAGAAGCAGGCGCGACGACGGGATCGTGGCCGATTCCTCCGAGGCGAGCGGCACGAGTGATGCGAACGTCTGCGTGTACTGCTCGGCCGCACGCGCGATTCCTTGCTACAGACAGACTAGGAGTTGCAGGTTTTCGCACTATATGCATCGTGTACCTCGCACGTCACGCGGAGCATCTTGGTCGCAGCGTGCTGCAGGATCGGCAACTGGTGCGTGTTGAGCGACTCGACAAAGTACTCGACGAGAATCCGAAACTGCGCAGGCGTGATCGCATTGCCCGCGACTTGCTTGGCCGGCAAAGTGTCTTCGCCGGCCTCGCCAGAGAGATACCGCGAATGCACCTTGTCGGCGGCGACGACGTAGTCGGGCCGAAGGACGTCGCGCGACAGATCGTACGTGAGCTCGATACCGGCGCTGGCTTCGACCGCGCGACTGATCATCATGCAGTCGCGCGTGGGGAAGAAGGTTGTAAAATACGTCTTGAACGCGTTGCTCTGCATCACAGCCTCGCTAAAGCCCGACTCGAGCGCAAAGAGCCCATCAAAGTACTCCGTGGGCGTCTTCTTCGTGGCGGACCCTGGGTTGGCGAGCCACTTGACCTTGGAGTTGCGCGCGACCCACACAAAGCGCGGCAGGACGCTCGCCAGGTCCTTCATGACGCCAGCCTCGTCCTGGTTTGACCGTAACTTGAATTGCGTCGGGAGGTCTGCGATCCAGCGCAGCTTCTCAAAGCTGAGCTCACTATCCTGGCTGTACAAAAGAACGGACGAGAGGAGCACCAGCAGCAAACGACCGAGATGCTCGTTCTTGGACGCGAGGACGATGACGTTGGATGCTTCCTCGGCATGCATCCAGAGCAGAGACTTCTTCTCATCGTCGCCAGCGTCGAGCGTCGGAAGGCTCGGCGACATGGTGTGCAGCAGCAGCTGATGCTCCTTGGTCGACGCGAAGGTCGCGTCCGCGGGCGCGTCGCCGTTCATCAGACCAACGACGCGGACGCGGCCGGCCGCAGCGTGCGTGAGGTAGACGTCCATGGCGCCATCGTCGACCTCGAGATGCTCGTCCGCGTGCTTCCAAACAAGGACCTGCATCACACTCCGCTCTTCTTCGGCGGTCGGAGGTTTGTTTCTGACTTTGGCCTCGCGCTCATTGGTCGAAATTGCAATTGGTTGAATCGCACGCTGTGATTGGCCCGGCGTTTAACCTACTAAAACGCAGTTCGCGCGCGTGGACGGATTTGGATGATGCGAGGTGCCCAGCACGGCTTTCTGGCCTGCACCACAGTCGCAGATTGCGACGTGGGTACCCGGCACTCACAACCCTACCCAAGCAGCGCATCCTTTCAATCCTGGCTAGGCCAACGTAAATACAACCCCGAGCCTTGCGTCAACGCACGCGACTGGGTCATTTGGCAAAGTGCAATGTCCACACTGCGCAGAATGCCAAGATCAGAGTGTGCGTCAGCGTGTGCCAACAGCAACGCTGTCGTCAGTTCAGCGACGGCTCTTGTTGCTTTGTTGCTGAACGTACCGCACTGGCGCGGTCGAAGTTGGTGTTACAACTTCGAGCCGCGGAAAATCGCGCGATGCCGCGTTCGGGCTCGAGCTCTTACCTTATGCGACGCCAACGCGGGGATGTGGCGCTGCGTATAAACTACTATATTTATGGCCTTGCTAGTCGTATCAAACTTCTTTGAAACGGCTTCGATGAAAAAGTACGAAATGCCGATAAGGTGAACTGTGTCTCTTGCCGCCGCGTCGACTCGCGCCTGCGACTGGGATGGTATCGTCCAACGAGGGTCCATACAAGCTCCAGTAGTCGCACTACTACTAGTACTGACACATGCCGTTTGGGCAATGCTTGGCATGGGCAAAGGGATCTTCGCGATGCAGGGCACCATCATGGATACACCTACACCTGTTTGATGGTCCGCACTGGTGTCGATTTTATTCGTGACCGTATCCACCTCAGTTGTTGGTCTAGACTAGCGATCGAGCATGCTGGTCCAAGGCTCGAAGGGGCTGCGTCATGGACTAATGATACACTGCCATCTCATTGATACGCATATGCGCGGCACGAAGGCGCTTGCTGTCAACGGCGGCACATTTCGCTGCCAAAATCCGTAAAATCTGATAGGCAAGTACACTGTGGACCCGAATCCTACTTGCATTCTCGAAGTTCGAAGCCGCGAGGTCCAAACGGCGCAGTTTTCTGAACACAATCGAATCCTCCGATGGTGGCGCATGGGTTCCGCTTCATGCTTGGGCGCGTCGCGGGCCCGAAGAAGGCCAAGGGCCGCCAGAAGAAAGGCAGTCGCCACGCAGGCCTCTTTACCTGCCTCCAGACCCCGTCGTCCGTCTCGCATGCGTTCATCGAGATCGCGTCGGGCGTGATCCAGCAGCAACACGACGCGGACATCCGACTGCGGGCTAGCAGCGCCAGCAGCAGCAACAACAACAGCAACAACAAGAGTCCAAGTAGCTACGACGGTAGCGGCAAGGCGCCAACGTACCCACTGCTCCAGCCCGACGTTCTCGACAGTCTCGAGTGCGCGCTCTTCATGGACGTCGAGGCCACGTCCGCCACAACTGCAAAACATCCGCGGGCAACAATTGGCGAGCTCGCAAAACTGCTTTTGCAGCTCTGGGACATCCTCCTCGCGTCTTGCATTCCGTGGTCGACCGCGGCGCTCCAAGAAACCATCGGCTTCAACGACCAGCTGAAGCGGCAGAAAGCCGAGGCGCTCATGTTCAAGCTCATGGAGCGGCGCGAGTTCGCCAAGGTCTACGAAGCGTACGTGGCCGTGACGGAGGACACGACCGAGCGCTGGAGCAAGGTGGACATGTCGAGCCAGCAGTCACACCCGCCATTCCGCAAGTCATCGACGTGGGCCTCCAAGCGCCGCCAGACATCGTCGGACCCTGACGTCGACGCCGTCTATGCGTACGAAGCCCCGCCGCTCGCAAAGGACCCAATGCAGCTTCTCGAGCGGTACATCAATCTCTCGACGCGTACGCTGGTGTATGCGGCCGCGCTTGTGCAAGTGCACCGGTCTTTCTTTGTGGACGTGCTGGCCGTGCTCTACTGCCGGCTTCCGTCGCTTCAGACGCTCGTGCTCGACCTCTTTGACCGATTTGGCTTTAGCGGCACGCCACCACGGAAGCCACGATGTGTGGCACGGGCCAAGAGCTTCTTTCAGGAAGACAACTCGGCGTTCTACGGCTGGGACCGGCTTTTTCTCGACGACGTCGCACTCGAGACCATTGAGGCACACGCGCTAGCTGCCCTCGACATCATCATCGAGACACCGCCGGTGGACGCATCCGTGCCCTACTCCGAGTTGGACATTCTTATGGACGACCAGGCGAGGTCCTTTGATGGCGAGGACAACATTGACAGCGACAACAATTGCATCGACTCGAGTCTGTGCTTGGACCTCTTTCTTAGCCTTTGGATGGCGACGACTGAGCACATTCAGCGCACGAGCCGAGGGCACATCCCGTGGGCCGACGTTCCTCCGTTCGCGGCGCTCCAAGGCCGCGCGACCAACCTCTTTGAAAAGTGCTTTGCGTACCAGACGTTCGACTGCGATGAAGACACGAACGGGCTCCGCTTCCACTTGATCTCGGCGCGCAAGGCCAAGCTCGACCGGCGACTGCCCTTTGACGTCAAGCACCCGCGCGTCGTCTTCTCCACGATCGAGGCCGTCGTCATGCTCACGCAGCAGTCGTTTGCGCCGTATATGGCTGCCATGTACAAGCACTTGAACTGCTTTTACGTACGGTCGGCTGTCCCGAGCCTTGCACTTCTCGAGCAGTGGATCACGCACGCGCCAAGTAGGTCGATCGCACTGGCGCATCACTTTCTTATCGGTCGTGTAGCGGCTTGCATCGACAACGACGCGACGCAAGCACTCTTGCGCAAGTTCATCGTCACGCTCCTGGCGTCCGACCGCATGGATCGACTCAAGGCCATCCAGGTACTAGTCGGTTGTCGAGCGTCGAGTCCTTATCCCTGCGCCAGGTCTTTCTTCTGCACTGCATTGGGCACTTGACCGTGTCGCTCCAACAGTTCGTATTGAGTCTGCTCGTCGACGCGTTCCCGAGGCTCTTTGGTCACTGGTCCCGCGACGTCCGATTCTGCTACCATCTTCTGCTCATCTACATCTTTGGCGACCGGCGGCAGCTCGGCGCGCACTCGGACAGCATCCTCCTTGGGCTCGACGGCAGCGGCAGCACGCACGTCGAGTACGAGCCGTTCGACCACCTCCTCCTCGAGACCCTGCGCGCGAGCAAGGCGCCGACGCTCGTGTACGAGCGCGCGTCGTTCACCGAGTACATTGCGCAGCTCGAGATGTACTACAGCATTGCGGCGACGCTGCCAAAGAACGAAGCTGTCGCGATTCCGCGCATTCGGATCCAGCAGGCGCACCGCGGGTAGTTTATAGTTAGTCGTTGTACGATCGTAGTACACATAGTAATAGTCGTTGCTGTCGTGCATGTCTTGGAACTGCGCAGAGGCGGCGCGCGGATCGAGCCGGTGCACAAGCGTTGCAAGCTGCCTGTGGCGCAAGGGCTGCGAGAGATCACGCCCGACGAACGCCGTCAACGTCGTCGTCCATCGCGAGCTCCCTTGGAGCTCCAGGCAGTGGCACTCGTACCTGCTGCTGCGCCGTGCAGACCTGCGTGCGGCGTCTGACTCGGCCGCCGATTGGCCGGGGCGCGAAAATCAATGAATTATAGCCAATGGCCTTGGTCGACGGATGTTGGGTATAGTCGAGGTGGATCTTCTTCGAGTGATAGTCCATCGTTGCGCCCATGACACGCGCGTCAGTAGGCGACATGCAGCACATCCGCCGCTCCGACGTCGTCATGAGCGAGCTCGAGTACCTCCCGCAGCTCTCGCCGTCGGTCCAGCTCCTCTGCATCGGCCTCTACCTCGGCGTCGGCGTCGTTGCCTTCACGCGCAGCTTCCAAATGCGCCCGCGCCTGCTCACGCGGCAAAAGGTCTTCCAGTACCTCGTGACGACCTTCTGCTGCCTCCGATCGCTCTCGCTGCTCACGGCGCCGCCCGCGGGCGTCCGCGACGTGCTCAACCGGACTGCGCTCTGCCTCTTCTTCTCGCTCATGCTCTTCCAGGTCTTCTTTTGGTTTGACGTCGTGAACCCGTCGTCGTCGGCACGCTCGAAGCGCGTGTGGCACTCGTTCCTGTACATCAACGTGGCGCTGTACGCCGTCGTGCTGTGCCTCGAGCTCGACGCTTTTTCACGCCCACGTCGCGCACCAAGGACGCGGCCGCGAGCTACTGGTCCGACATGCTTCCGGTGCTGCTCGTCGTCATGGGCAGTCTCCTCCTCTGCATTGGCCTTCTCTTCTCGATCTGCAAGATGCGCATGCGTGTCCAGCGGCTCATCGACGAAGATGACACGAGCTTGAGCGTCCGCGCGGTCCAGAAGATCCACCGCGCGCTGTGCTACCTCAACTGCATCTTTGCCGGCTCGTCGCTTCTCTTCTTGCTCCGCGCGTTCCTGTACCTCCAGCACCCGTGGGCCCACAAGGAGTGCGGTTCGCTTCAGGACCCGAATTGGTGCCTATGCGTCGGGTACGTCCTCCCGGAGCTCATTCCAGCCGTCTTCTTTGTCATTGTCATGTGGGACGTGGACCCGAACCTGTGGCGGTCCAACATGTCGACGGGCGAGACGACGCCGCTGCTGGGCAAACACCTTGGCATCACGAGCGGGTTTGGAAAGGACTTTCGGTGGCACCGCCCGAGCCCACTCTTGCTCTCGTCGACGCCGACGCAAGAAGCGGCGCCGTACCTGAGCGTGCAGCCCTTCACACCCCACGCGACTCCCGTGAATCCGACGACGCTGCCGACACCGCCGGGCCTCCTCGATGCGCTTTGGCTCTCGTTCCAGTGCTTTCAGCTCAAGCACGGCGGCCAAGACGTGCACGCATCCCTTGTGATTGTGCACATGCTGCAAGACGGCGTCGACGACATTGAGGTTCGCGGTCCAATATATACGTTGCTGCATCTGATTCCTCGTAGCTCGGACGGTCGGAGCTCGCGCACACGACGGACCCGCAGTTTCACGTGATGGTCAAAGTGCCTCTCGACGCTATGCACGTGCTGCGCATCCGCGTCTACAGTGTCCGGAACTGGAACACGCTCTCGGACCTCTCGTCCCAAAATCTCGTCGGCGAGGCCATGCTCAAGCCGCTCGAGCTCGGGCAGAGCCAGCTCTACCGCCTCTCGAGCTCGTTCCGGGGTGACGTGTGCGTGAGCAACACGGGGCTCCTCGTCGTGCGCTGCGAAGCGCCGGGCGTCATGGACACGTCGGCGTGCATCACGCGCAGCTTCTTGCATGGTAAAGTGCTCGTCGAGGAGGCGCTTGTCGAAAGTCCATGGACGTACGAGATCCCGTACCAGATGCTCCAGCTGATTCAAGCCGATCTCGTGCAAAAGGCCAACTGGATGGCGCAAGTGCTGCAGGCGAACCGCTCGACGCTTCTGCACGTGCCTCGCCGCGGCCTCGGCAGCTTCAGCTTCAGCGGCACCGGGACCAACCACCTCGACGAGGACGACAGCGAAGAGGACGATCCACGGTCGTCGCCCGTCTCGACGACGAGTCTACTCACCGAGATGATTTACCAGCTCCAAGGCAACGCTCGGAAGCGCACGAACCGCAAGTGGCGCGGGTCGATGCTCCAAGACATGGAGGCGTACATCGCCGTCGTGCAAGCCGCTCTCGAAGCGTACGGCCACCCGGACAAGTTCCAGCTCAGCTTCAAGCCGAGCACGAAGAAGGCCGACGCCGAGCTGCGCTTCGTCGCCCTCAACATGCACATGCAGCTTTTGACGCTGGGCGATGCGGCGCAGACCTCGTCGTCGTCGTCGTCACCGATGCCGCCGAGAATCGACGAAGAGACCGAAGTCGATTGGCGCGATGACATTCGCGTGCGATCGCAGTCGGCGCTCGACACGATCTTCCGCGCCCACGAGCTCTTTGGCACGACGACGGTCGGCGCGTTTGCGGCCCACGTCTATGGCTTTGGCCACGGCGGCATTCGCCAGCTCCGGGACGACCTCGAGCGGTACGTGGACGACTTTTGTTTCGCCGGTCGCGAACGACACCATGTAGGCTGCGCGAACGGTCGCTCAAGGCCACCGACTGGTCCGACAACACGACGCAGGCGCTCCAGCGCGACATGTACGCGCTCGAGTGGCACATTGACCAGCGCCTCGATGTTGCTTTCACGCAAGCCGTGAGCGCGCTCGTGCCGTGCTTCCAGCAGACGCTGTTTACGCATTTGCACACGTCGTCGCCCAGTGTATCGCCCAAGGCGTACCTGACGCAGCTGCAAACTGCCGGCTTCCTCTTCAACGTCGAGAGCCTTATCTCGACGGTCGGGTCGGAAGCCGGTATGCTCGGCGACATGGATGCGGCCGTCAAGGCACTGGCGTACGTGACCATCCGGCTGCGCTTGGTGCCAGATGCGGCATCGGCCGCGTTCTCGGTCGCCATCTCGTCGGGGCCGCAGGGCCTTGTCGTCGAATTGCCGCTCATCTGCAGCGACAACTACACGCTCGCGCCGTGTATGCACCGCGTGCCGGGCCAGGACTTGGCGTCCGGCGCCGTCTACTGCCCCGTGAAGCTGCCGCCGGCGCGCGCGCTCTTCATCAAGGTCGTGCCCGTGCTCTTCAACCAGGGCATGAACGAGCTCCAGACGGTGGCCAACACCGTGCGCAAGAGCCAGCTCCAGCACGCCATCAACCAAGAGAGCGCGAACGTGCTCGAGTCGTACTTGGTCGTCGTGAATGCGTCGCCGGCCGTCATGGCCGTGTGGCACGAAGCCAAGCAAGCCATCTTTGACACGAAGGACGAAAAGTGCATGGCGATCCTCGAGCAAACGTCGTGGATCTCGCGGCAGGTCGGCGGCGGCCGCGTCACGTGCTGCAAATCGGCCAAAGACCGGACGGCCATGTCGGTGACGCTCGAAGAAGCCAAGTTGATGGGCACGAGCGACGTTGCGATGTGGACGCAGTTGCTTCGCACGTACGGCGTTCGGCGCGAGAACGCGCGCAAAAACATTGGGTCGGCACAGTACTGCTTTAGCACGTGGCAAAACTACTTGCTCCCGTCTGCGTACAAGTGCCCGCCGGGCACGGGTGGCGGCAGTCGCGCCCACTCGTAGCAGTTGTCGATCTGCAACCCGTTTTTGAAACATGGTCGCCCTGTTTTTCGTGCTAGAATCTATCTGCTGAAGAAAGTGTTGTTTTCTATGGCTGCGTCGACCACGTAAAGTCAAAAGACGGCGCGAGCGACCGCAGGTGCGCATTGAACGGCGCATAGAACGCCTCGAGCTTGGCCTTGGCCGTCGCCGGCATCGGGTCGTACGCCCGCGTGTTGTGTGCGGCCGTGTCTTGCAGCATGTGCGGTGGCAACCCGAGAAAGGCCAGTGCCTCATTCACCGTCGCCTAGATATACCCGTATAAGACACATCGAATTGGACAAAGAGATAGATGTACCTGCGTCGACTCGGGGGTCTTGAGCGCATCGAGGTTCAGAAGCAGAAACTGGTGCCGGGGAAAGTGCTGGAACCAGATCTGGAGCTGGAGTGCGTAGAGACCGCGACCAATGTACGAGTGAGCGCCGTGCGTCTTGGGCAGGCGGTCGGCGTACGCTTGGAACGTCTTTGGGCACGTTGGCTTGGCGAGCACGTCCTGCACATACAATGCATGGGTCAATGATACCCTGCAAAATTGATAGGCTGATTGATACCTGGAGCAAGGCGAGGTCGTCGTTGATGACGTCATCAAACGACTTGCCCGCGACCGCGGCGCGCATCTCGAGCTGCTTGGTTGTGCCCGAGCCATCGGCGGTCATTTGGTAGTGCGAGTACGCCCGCTTGACCGGGTCCCGCATCATCACGATGAAGCGAGTATGGGGAAAGAGCTATTTAAACACCAAAATGATATCATCGACCTCAACTCTTCGCATCCGACCTGCTGGAAACGCTTGGCGATTGGCGCACCGTACAAGAGGTAGCTCGGCGTCGACTCGGCCAGCAGCATCTTGGGCGCCCACGTCTCGAGCGGCGCCTGGAGCGAGAGCAAGTACTTGGCCCTGCATATCGCATATCACTCATCTGGGAAATGGATTAGGGTAGAGCTCATACCGCATGTCCAGGGTCGAGTACGTAGTCTCGTCGTCGGCGACTGCAGTGTCCGTTGCGAGGTCATCGTACGTCTTCAGAATGGTCTTGGCCGGCGCAAGGAGCTCGTCTGTGACGGGCGTCGTCGTTGCTTTGGTCCACGCCCAGTCGAAAAAGTGCGGCTCGCGACGCTGTCCGTTCACGATCGACGGGTGTTGCCTACAGACAATATTGTCCACATCTTCCACGTGGATCGACGTACCCAAGGTGCTGATAGAGCGACGTTGTGCCGCACTTTTGAACGCCGAGGATCGCATACGACGGCGTCCAGCCAATCGTGAGCGCCCGAAGGGCGCGCGCGGCCTCGGCGGCCATGACGCGGTCGACGTGTCCAAGCATCTCGAGCACCGTTGGCTCGACCGCCGGGGGGCACGTTGCGCGAACAGCCGTCGCAAATTCGATCGCGTCGATTTGCTCGATGAAAAAGTGACGGCACGCCGTGGCAAAGATCCTCGACGCCTACGGAGACGCGTCATACGCAACACTCGTCACAAAACGCGCTACCTCGTCGCTGGACTCGGCCTTGAGCTGCGCAGTGAGTGCTGTTAGCATGCTGGCGGCAATCTTGGCGCCGGCCGAGTTGTCGAGCTCGTCCGTGGCAGAAATGAGCTCGACGCGGCCACGGACTTGGCGGCAGCGCTGGCCGGCCTCGAGCGTCCTACAGCATGCTGAATGCTGGCTTGGCGATGCATATAGGGTACGTGAAGAGAGGCGTCGGCACGTGCAGCTCGTCAATGACGTCAAAGATGAGGTGCACGCGGTACTCGTCCGCGCCGTTGTACACGCTGTGTTTGGCCGCGTTGTTGAGCTCGACGATCGAGCCTTCGTTGAACGCAAACCGACTCATGCTTTCCTCGAGGCAGCCGCTCTTGAACTCGACCTCGGGAAAGGTCACGATCGGCACGTGGATGCGGTGCGTGCGGCCGACCCACGGGCCATTGTCGTGGTGGGCAGGGATGAGCACCTTGGGCGGAAGGCGCGCAAAGAGGCAGCGCACGACGCGCTCGACAGGAACGTCGATGGCGGCAAAGAGTGGCTCGAGGAGCGGGCGCCAGATCGCCCACTCGGGCAGCAAGTAGATGTTCTCGAGGTGGTTGTCGGAGAAGATGCAGATGATCTTGTTGACGCCGACCTTGTCGTGGAAGGGCCGGCGGAGCGATACGTTGCGCGTGCTCTGGTACGCTTCTGACCAGCGGCTCTCGGGCAGCGACACGATCTGGCGCTTGAGCTCGGCGATGTCGACCTGCGACGCGCGGGTCGTCGCGCAGACAAGGTCGACGGTCGGGTCTTCTTGCACGAGCATCTCAGTCGGGCGGCGCTTGTGGCTAATGCGAATATGAGTATTACTCGCATCGAAGCATGCAGCAAAGGACCTGAGCGGGACGACGCCCGCTGGTGGCATCGGCGCGGCTTGCATGCTGCTGGCGGTGAAAGGCGGCGCGATTTTTTGTGTCTTCGGACGAATGGAGCCATGCCTCGGACCAATCAGCGTTCGCTGAAGCTTAAATGTGGCATATGCCACGCTGTACTGCCATGGCGCTCGTTTGGGAACTACCGGTAGCCCTGAACGAAGACCGGGTAATGTAATGAAGCAAGTGGCTTCATTGCATTACCCGATGCGGGAGGGTTAGCATAGATTGAATCATAGCGTGCTAATACATTGTGTACATAGTACTAGATTTCGCTAACGTTACCATATATCCAAGGCGCACTCGCTCATCTGTGTGGAACCAGGTACTAGTACCGGTACTATGCATTCCAGACGCGTCTCACAACATGCAGTACCAGGCCACGACGATCTGCACTCGGTATACGATGAAGGTACACCTGCGATGACTAGAGAAGAGACTTCAACACAGCGAAGTGGGGTCTCGCAGCTTGGGCTGACATGTGAATTCACGTTTTCATCGCTTCACCCTGCAAGAATGTAGGTACTTGTGTGATGGTCCCCTCCAGGCCATACGTAGCTTGAGCCACTTCCAATTTTGAGCGAAAACTCAGGCACCATGCGCGGCCTCGTGCTCCTCTCGGCGCTCCTCTTTGCATGCGCCGTCTCCGTCGAAGCGTCCGCGGGCTGCGATACGTGCGCCAACACGGGCATGTGCGCCCAAGCCTTCAAGGGCGCTCCCGGTCAATTCTGTGGCCGCTTTAGCGGCGGCGTCACATGCTGCTGTCCCGCCCAAGCACAGTGCAACATGTCGCCGTTCGACTGCCGCTGCCGCGCCGTACAGCTCCGAAGCCCCTCGTCAAGCTCGCACTCGGGTGGCATTGTGGGCGGCGGTATCTTTTCCTTTCTCGCGTTTGCCTTTGCTGCTGCCTGTGCTGCCGCTGCTGCAAGTCGCGCGACGAGCCGGCTTACGTCGCGATCGGCAGCCAGCCGCAGTATGTTGCCCAGCCGCAGTACGTCGCCCAGCCGCAGTACGTCGCCCAGCCACAGTATGTTGCCCAGCCTCAGTACGCGACGCCGTACGGCGGGCAGCCTACGGTCGTCTACGCAAACGCACCGCCGGCGCCTGTCGTGTACCAATCGTACCAGAACAACTACTCTGGCGGCGACGTAGCCCTCGGCGCCGCGGCCGGCCTGGCGACGGGCGTCGTGCTAGCAGAGGCCATGCACTCCCACGCGTCCTACGACGGCGGCAACTACCAGTCGTACGATTTTGCCGGCGACACGGGCGGCGGTGACTTTGGCGGCGATACCGGCGGCGACACCTTTAGCGGTGACTTTTAGAACCCTATTCGGTTGGTGATTTTACACCGCATATGAACCATTTTGCAACTTTTGATTTTTCCACTCGCTTGGCACTCGTCCATAAAGTGCTACATGCGTATCACGGTACTGACCTTGCTGCTGCTGCTTCTTCCGACGGCAACCCCCGTGGCGACGCACGGCTGCACAGCGTACGCAGCCACGGTTAACTGCACGTCCGCGTACCAGAACCGATCTGGCTTTGCTTGTGAGCCGCTGGCTTCAGGCGAAGCGTGCTGCTGCCCACGAAGCCAGATCTGCGCCTCGACGCGCGACCATTGCCGCTGCCGGCGCAAGGAGCCCAAGCAGCTCTCGCCGTCTGCCTATCTCGTCGAGATGTGGGTCGGTATCATCGCCGCGGTTCTGGTCACAGCTTGTTTGCTGCCCCGCCTCCTCCTCAAGTGCATCACGAGGCACCAAGCTGCCCAAGCCCGCCGGTGCCGCACAGCTGAGCCCCAAACGCCTGATGTCGCAATGAATAACGGAACCGCGGTGCGAGCGGAAAGCGACCGTACGTACGCTTCGCTCCCCCTGGCAACCAAGTGCCCCACGTAGTCCTGATCATCAAGTTGGCCTCGTAAGAAGGCTCAACGAGATTTTGTGTCGCCGTCTTATGGACAAGACGATTCGTAAACGACTATTGTTTGGGATCGCGTATCAGTTGGAGCCGCATATCTCGTGAACTACGATAGCTGCGAAAACTTTCTAATTTGACCAGTCGAGACGAGTGGACGAACGCTGGCCAACCAGCGTCGATTTCCGTGGCTACGGGAGGCCGGCGCCCCCCGGGGGACGGCTCTTCTTCACGCCTGCCGCCCGCCTCCCCGAAGACAAGAAGATGAAGAAGCGTTCATGCGAAGACTCGCGACGTCAGGATGGCCGCGACCGTCGGCCGCTGCCATTGGAAGTCCCTGCCGCCCTTGCCTCCGCCCGCACGCTGTGCAGATGCGCTCCCTCGTCCTTGTCGTGCTCGACTAGGCAACACACCCAGAAAGGGCCCCCGGCTCTGTTCCCACGATACCCTCCCTTGGTCGCCGCGCGCCGCGCGGCGACTGACGGCCGTGAGGCAATTTCTTTCCCCGACATAGATTCTGAGAGGCTCAGCACACCACTTCTCGGAGTTTATAGTTGTTGACAGGTAGTAACAATCATATCTCAATAGACTCAATTCAACAACAACGATAGCTGCGAACAATCTGAAAATTGTCTCGTGAAGAGGGGGATACGATTGTGGAAATGCGATCGACAGGGAGAGCTCATGGCATAATGGGATGGAGATATCCGCGTTCAAACGCAGCGTGTCGTTTTGGCGCTTTCAGCTGCTGGCGGCTGTTTGGGTGTACTGTCATCCCATTGGTCAAATAGACTAACATCTGCCGGCCACTTCAGCGAGTCACCCATATCTACCACTGCACTTTGAATTATAGCCAATCAAACACGATAAAATGAGTGGTACCTCAAGAAAGACATCCGTGTGTGCCCTATAAGTCATGCTGAGCACCGTCCATCGTTCACAAGTCCATTTCTAGACAACCACAAGTAATACCAGGCATCTTAAAGTGTCATTCGATAGAGCGCAACAAGTTGTACACGTGCCCCAATTTTCACGACCAATAGTGCTTTATGTGTCGAGAAATGTCTAATCCAATATTTACACCCACATGGTTGCGCGATCCCAAACGTCCCGTACAATAACCGCCGGCTCGGTCCTCGCATTGGCTGTGCTTGGACAAGACGCTATTGCTTCTACTACATGTACCAGAGAAAGTAATACCGGTTTCGGCACGCAAACCCTGGGCATCGCCAAACGAAGTCTGCTTTAGTAGCCAAAGAAGTCGTCCGAGTGAAGTGCATGGAGTTCATGCACCGGTTGACAACCTTGCTTGTGGCCACAGCAAGAGGACATTATTGCCTCTGTGCTGATTCGGAGTCGGAGTCGTCAAAATCGAAGCATCGATCTCGAAGTTTGAGGTTCGAAATTCGTATCAGCCAGTGAGTTGCAAAGGTTCAGAATTGAAGGATGGCCCGTCGGCTCGTCGCCATCGCCGTCACCGCCCTCGCAAGCAGCGTGCGTTTTGCCGAGGGCAGCTGCCGTGAGTGCGCGAAAGACGGCAGCTGCTCCGAGGCGTTCAAAGGCGCGCCTGGCCACTACTGCGGACCATACCAGGACGCCGATTGCTGCTGCCCGCACGGCGCGCAGTGCTTTGTCTCGCCGTACTTTTGCCAATGCCTACACATCCCGACGTTCATAGCCCCGACGCCACCGCCCGTAGGTGCAGTACCCGAGGCGAAGACCGTTAAGCAGCATGAAGTGCTCGGTATCGCCTTGGTCGTCATACTCGTGTGGTGCATTCTCAAGCGGTGCCGCAAAAAGCGCGAGATGCGCCGCCGCGCCGAGTACATTCACCTCTCCGAGGTCTCTCGTCCGCAATACGTGTATGCAAGCCAGCCGAGCTGGCCAACCCAGCCCAACTATGGCTCCAACCAGAGCCAGCCGCCCATGTACCAGCATCCACCGCCCAACTCTGGTCCAAGCCAGCAGTATGCCATCTACATGCCACCGCCAACGTCCCAACAACCGTTGTCGTACGCCCAGCAGGCGCTGCCGACCGGAGACTACGGGCAGCGCTTCAACCAGTCTGCCTATCCTACCCAGCAGACCTCGGCCATTCCCATGGCGATTCCAGTCGACACGCCACCGACAACAAGGTCGGAAAGCAAATACATCTAACATTCACACTACGAATTGCTGCCTTGCTGTGCATTTATAAGTCGAATGCTCTAAAAGCTACGTACTCGTTTCAGAAGATTCCTTACACCAGTAATAATCTCATGCAGCGTACACCGGAAAGGTGGAGACGTTAGAGCGCACGCATGCTGCAAACCGCTGCGTTCGCAGGCACTCGCTCGACGAGATGGTCTTCGCTCGACTCGGTCCTGGCGGAATTGGCGGAAAGACGTGATTCGCAACATACAATTGTACCAGCCAATCAAACACTAGGATGTACGTCAAGAGCGTATCTTTAAAGTGCAATTTGGCGCGGGGACATGCAGCGGTTCTTTGAGTAGATCCTGGGCAGCGCCAAGCCGGCGCCTCGTATCTCGGTGATGCGCAAACTATCACGGCGACCCACGCCACGCTACACGGAGCGCCACCTTGTCCTCGACGAAGAGAAGGTGCATCTACTACGCTGCATGATCGAGCACGCAATGGCACTACATCGCTGGCGGCGGTCGCCCAAGAGCCATTCTCAGCTAAAACACGATCGCCTGTCGTCGTGTCGGGTATCTACCCACTGCAATCATTCCAGGACGACTGCGGACTTCGCATTGCACTCAGCGGTATCCATCTACCCGACCGATACATCGTGCACTGCACATCACACCAGCGCTTGTGTTCCGCTTGCGGTCGTACGTCTGCGCTGCCGGTGCCCCCAAGATGATGCATTTTAAGTCGGGGTCTACACGTGCCAGCGAGAATGGGCGATGTTTCGCGTTGCGCGCAGCGTGCTCGGTCCCGTGCTCGAGCCCCATCCCCATCGCCCGACTGGCGACCTCGACAGCCTTCCGAGCGTTGTGCAGCGACACATCTTGTCCTACTTGGACTCTACCGGTACGCCCCTTGTTCGCTGCGCCCAGATCAACCACGTACCGGTATGTATTATAGTCAGCACACGACACACGACACATCGCTAACATCTTTCGTAGGTCATTCTCGGGTACCTCAACGACGAGAGTCTCTGGCGCGCCTTGCTCGGGATCGGTACTAGAACGGCGCAAGAGTCCATTTGTGCAGCTTTCTGCAAATCTTGTCCTTCTAGATTTCTAGCGAGATGGGTCCACCCTCTTGAAGAAGCGGTGTGGGATGTCCCTACGGCAAGCATACGGGCTCTGGTCAGTCGCCCAATCTATCTCGAGTCCGTCGCTGATTGGTCATCATGGGATGTAGCGCCCAACACGAGACGTTGCATCAACAGGATCGTCAGCGCAAGGTGCCACGCCTTGCACAAAGATAAGGCCTGACCAGCATGCGTCTGATACGGCGTCGCTGCTTGTTTTTGGCGCGCTTTCTCTGCCTTGCAGTTGATGGGAAAATATATGGAAAATGGACCCGAGCTCACAACCGTCCCACTTTCCGAGTCTTCTTTTCAGAGCGTCTTGTTGCAGTTGCTCACTTTGCATTTCGCCTCCACGCGCTCGATCGATTCCCTCAGCATGCTCCGCCTCGCGTCGTCGTCTGCCCGCCGTCTCCGCGCGCTCTCGCGCACGTTTGGTAGCCCACTCGACGGTAATAGTAGATCCAAGACTAACCGACGCACCATAGCGTCTTCGCGCGTCCAAGTGCTCGAGTCCGAGACCGAGTACGCGTCGCTGATTGCCAAACCAGAGGCCAAGAGCATTGTTTACTTTACGGCGCCATGGAGTGGCCCCTGCAACGCGATCGCGCCAATTTTCTCCGAGTTGAGGTAGTACGCACGACTTTGATCGCGGGAGCTTATTGCACTATTACTCGTAGCAACGCCTTTCCGAGCCTTAACTTTGCCCAGCTGGACGTGCACGAGCTCGACGACACGGCGGTGGAGGCCGGTATTCGGGTACGTCACGCTTGTATCATCGATGGCGCATCATCCAACGTCGGGAGCAGGATATGCCCACGTTCCATTTCTATGTCAACGGCAAGTTGCAAGAACCCCTCGAGGTATTGGTCTGCGCGGAATCAAACGAGAACGCTCATGAACGACTTCTAGCTCGCAGGCATGGATGTCAACCAGCTCAAAGACAACATCCAAAAGCTCGCCGACTTGTAACGTGCTCCTTGCGTCGTGTGTTGTCCGTTGAATGTCATAGTTTGTCCGTTGGCTTCTGTTTTTTTCGCCTTTTGGGAAATCCAGAGCGTTTGCGAGCAACATTTCGCGCAATTTAACAATCAACGAATGGGGTAATCGACAGCCCTGCGCCGCCTCGCAGGCGCGCGTTCGTCCCACGCGCCCGTTTGCGTCATTTGCAGTCATGCTTCATATCAGCAGCCGTCACGCCCGAGCTCTAGGGAGCATGCCACGCTACTCGACCACGTCGGCTCGAAACGATCGCGTCGCGCCGCGCATCGTTCCGCTCACGACGCTTGACGCCTACGAGGCGTGGATCACAGCGCGTCACAAGAGACGCGTCGTCTACTTTACGGCGCACTGGAGCGGTCCCTGCACGATTGTACGCCACACGCTGCGTGCATTGTGGTACGACACCCTCTTCGTCCCTAAGTTTCACAGCCCCTTTTCATTCTAGTGCCTCCTATCCGACGATCGGATTCGCCCAAGTCGATGTACACGCGATGGACGACGCAGCGATTCTGGCCGACGTGTGTGTACGTCCTCTTGACCGTACGCTGGTCTTTGCAGCGTCTATTGCAGGACATGCCAACTTTCCACTTTTATCTCGACGGAAAGCGACAACCTGCGCTCGCGGTGCGTCGGCTGCGACGAAGGTTATGCTAACCGATCGGTTAGTGCACGGGCCTGCGCTGCGAGTTGCTCCAGTGCAACGTCGCCAAGCTGGCCGACGGCAAGATCCATTGATTCCGCGCTTCCAGAATCGGTAGCGCTGCGTGTATCGATAACACGTCGCTTGTGTCTCGCCTACGTCGTTGCATACAGCGTGCTAAACGTCGTACGTTCGCTTCCAAGGCAAAGCGAGGGCTGCACTCGGCGTAGTGCGTAGAGACGATGAGGTGGGCACGGAAATTGGAGCGCCACGTGCGACCAATCACAGCAATCGGTACTTGAAGGTCGTTAAACCCAGGGATTGCTTGCGACCCGTCCGGCGGCCTCTCATTTTCGGAATTCGTCATGATTCGCATCTCGTCCGCTGCTGCCTCGATCACGCGCGCCACGCTCGGCGCCCGCGCCTTCTCTCGCGGTGTCGGTACGCGCAGCGCCATGTAGTTCATGGCCTCATGCCCATGGCGTAGCCTCGCGCGTCCAGGTCCTTGACTCGGACAGCCAATACACGGACTTGATTGCCAAGCCGTCCAAGAGCGTCGTCTACTTTACGGCGGCGTGGTGTGGCCCGTGCAAGATGATCTCGCCCATCTACGCCCAGCTCAGGTACACATGGCAAGCTGCTACAAGACTCGATGCCAACGTGCGCTGTAGCAACGAATTCCCGGACGTCGAGTTTGCCAAGGTCGACGTCGACGAGCTCGACGAGACGGCCGCCAAGGCCGGTGTCCGCGTACGCACCGCCAACGCCTGCTCTGACACGTGCGCTCATGTCACCAACGATATAGGCCATGCCCACGTTCCACTTTTACGCCAACGGCAAGCTCCAGCAGCCTCTTGGCGTACGCCACCTGATCATCGCTCGTCTTCTCGACGCTCATTTCCCGTGTAGTTTGCCGGTGCCGACCCGAAGCAGCTCCTCGCCAACGTCCAGAAGCTCGTCGCCTTGTAAGCAGCGAAACCACTGCGATCGACTGCGTTCACCAGGACAAATCCTAATTTCCTAATCTATTTTTGATCGCGCAACCTGACTTTGGCGCGCCATGGAGACGGTGTTCCCGATGCCCGTCGTCCGGCGCAAGCAAACACCGGGCCCCGCCGTCGCGCAGCAGCAGTACGCGCCCTTCCGCGCGACGTACATGGACAAGAAGGCCTACATTGGTCGCCACTTCAAACCCATCTTCCCGCCTAACATGGCGTCTAGATCCCTTGGAAATGGCGCGCGGACCTGGCTCCCTCGAGAGCCCGCTCGCGGTCACAAAACGACCCATTACGCTCTACAAGTAGTGCTCCATTCGACTTTGGTCTGTCATTATATTTGTCTGCAGAGTCGAGCGCGCGAAAGGCTTCAACCCAACGCTGCCGGTCCACGCCGACGCCATGTACGACGTCGACCACGGCATTGCGTACGAGACCACACGTACTATATCGTTTTGCTTGGATTCCATCTATTGATTGTCACTCTAGGCAAGGGCAACGCGCTCGCGCTCAAGTCGGCGTCGCCGCGGTTTCCTGAGGTAGAGACTGCGTTGAACTTTCTGCTCCAAGAATGGTAGACTCGCGACCGCGCGCCAGGTCCAGGAAGCTACCACTGCGAAGAGGTAGAGACTGAGATATCGTCGTCTCGGCGATTTCGAAGGCGCGTCGACTAGTTTCATGGCGCGTTCCCGATTCTGCTCCACGTGGTCACACCACGGGTATACCTCGTCATGTGATATATCTGCGCCATTCGTCCGTGCAGGACGCCAAGGAAGCACAACACCAGAAGAAGGACGCGCTGAAGCACATGATGGGCGTCATCCCGGTCCAGGAGGCACCGACGCCAAAGCGGTGCCAGATTCAAACATCCAGCTGGCGAAGATTTATAGGGCGTAGATCGATCCGAAAGTCGGCGCTCTCGGCGTCGACGAGCGAGTGCAAGACAAATCTGTACGCGCTGCAGGATGTGGTCGTCATGTCGTCGAGTGACGATGCTGCGTGTACAACGTCACCGCTCGTGGCGCGACTCACGCCTCGCAACGCGTACAACGGCGCGTACTTGGCCACGCCGACGATGTGGGTGCAGCCGCCGCCAACGTGCCACCGACCAACGCCACAGAAAGTAACAGTCTCACCACCCAAGAGTGGAAGAAAGCATAAGCATCGACGGTCCCCGCGGGTGTTTCTGCGCCTGAGCCCGTGACCCTAACCCCACCCTAACCCTACAACATGCTTCTGCAGCGCCATCTTCCCTGTTTGATGCGTGTAGGAAGAGACAAGGCGCAAAGCGACCGCCGAGCAGACTGTGGCGACATGCCTGTAGTGATGAGTCGTGGAGAAGCATTAGGGCGAGGCGAAGCAAACCGTTCGAGACGATGTCGGCGAGGACTGCTCCACGAAACAACTTTCTGTAGCGAGAATGGGAGGCGTTTTGCGATTCGCAGAAACTGCGTCGACTCCTCGACTTCTGCACTTGCTACGCAAAAATGGCCGTTCCCGGTCCAGCACGTTGAGCGCTGCTCGATATTGATACAATTACGTCCTCCAAACGGTCCTCGCGAGCCTGTTTCAGCGAGTGGAGGAGGTCAGTTCTGCTCGGCCGCCGACATGGATATCGCCCTCGTTCGCCATCAAGTCATGTCGACGTAGGGAGCCCGGCAGATGCGTGCATGATGTCGCCCTGCTGTGCATCAAAAGACGAATACGCCTGAGCGCGCCAAGGTGCCTGTGCTGACCGACGAGCGACTGCCTATCAGTACCTCAATATCATCGTGTGCTTGCACAAGAGCTCAATCACGATCACCGATGCCTTGCCGTTGACGGTGCGTCAAAGCTGTGGAGGCATTGTAACTCAAATCCTTCGCGATAAAGTTCAGCATCAAGCGACGACGCCATCAGGCATGATATCGTCACATCAAATGGATTCGTGTGCATTGCGACGTGCGACCCGAGTGCGCTTTCACCGACCCCCTTACGCGAGGTCTCATCTCGGCAGCTCGCGGATCTTGTGCGAGCGCGCAAATCCGGAGCCCATATCCAGCGACGCGAGATCTGCACGCCTCATCGAAATGTCTTGAAGCGTCGGTCTCGTCGTAGCTTTCGTCCTCGCCACAAAAGGACTTGAAAAAAGCGAGTGATGCAAAGCACGGCTTTGGTAGCTGGCTTTGGTCGTGACGACGCCCCGATTGCACGCTCCAAGGTAGATACTTCGTTCATTGACGTTGCTCCCGAGTTGTCCAATGGTCGCGATGACGGTGCTATGCGAAAGGCCATTTCTCAAATGATGAATACGAAAAATCAAATTGGCTTTAGTCGCTACACGACGGCTTCTGTGATTGGGGACGCGGGATCATCGTCGGGGAGGTCCGTGTGTCGCGGTACGAAAACGTATGGGGGACCGGGGACCGCGGAGATGCGGGGCGGCTGCGAGAACCACGGCACGTCTTGCTCGAAAACAGTGCGCTGGACTAGCGTGCGGCGGGCAACTTGCTGGAAAAGCGCAGGGGCTCCCTCAAGCTCCCGCTGTCCTTGTCGGCGGGAACCAAAAGTATTCGCACGTCGCGTGGTCTTACGTGCGGCTGCGGCATGCTCTTGAAACTCTTGGCCTGCGTCGTGGCTGATGCTGTTGCCAGTGTCGAGAACGTTGCCTTGGTCACCGTCCGGGTTGTCACCGTTCGCAGGACGCTCGATGTCACCCATGCGGCCAATGTCAGCGTCGCAGATGCTTGGGGAGCGCTGGACCACCAAGGAGTGGCCAGAGACGGCATGTAGTGGCACGTCATCGCCCTCTTCAAAGAAAGGAGCAACGAAACGCGGCTCGTCGATCGTGTCGACGCCGATCTCGTTCGGAGATAGGTCCCCGAAGCTGCCGTCTCGTTGGTCGTCGTCGACTTCGAAGCCCATGTCCACGTCATCATCGTTCACATCAGCGTCAGCATTGCCGTCGCTCGTTGCGCGCTGGACCACTGAGGCACGGTCAAGGAGATCGGGCGCGAAAGACGGCACGGGTTGGCTCGCCGGGGGCTCCGATGAGCGTCGATGCATGCCGACGTCAACGCCGTCGTTCGGCGAGGCTGCAACCGTACCCTGCACCCGGGCATAGTTGCGTACGAGCTCGTCCCATCGCAGCGGCGTGCGAACAACTGGGGCAGCGAGTGTCTTCACAGCGTCGTCGGTGTCGTTCGGGAGCATCAGCATGTACCGTGCCGCCATGAGAAACTTGACGCCATGCCCGAGCCGCATGCCGTGCAAGTCGCCAGGCCATTCGGGTGTGCGAGGCACTTCGTACGACTCGGGCACGTCGATGGAGCCCTCGAGCGAGCAGTAGGTTTCCAGCCCCTGAACGACACGCGCCCACGTGGCAGGCGTGTTGAACTCGAACTGGATCTTGTTCAGCTTCTCCTTTTTCGCATCGCTCAAGCAATGCATCCGCAGGCCGAGCGTCCACGCGAGCTCGCCGAGCGGCGCGCCAGACCACCGCGACGTCGACGACGGCGGCCCAGTTGGGACGATGAAATCAAACGGGATGGTCGACGTCTCATCGTGGCGGGTCAAGCGAGTGACGAGCTTCAAAAAGTCGTCAAAGGGCGGGATGTCGGCGAAGAGCCCCAGTGCCCGAACACGCTTTTCATCCTTCGGTTCGAGCTCAAACCAGTGGTACCGCAAAGCCGGAAGCACTCGGGAGAGTACGATGTCGCGGGAGTCGACCGGCCACGCCTTGTCTGTCTCGGGCACCACAAAGTCGTCTTCCATGGCATCCAAAGGCCCGACCTTGGATGCGTACGTTTTGAGCGCCGCCACCAACGTCGCGAGTTTGACAGTGTGCACGTGGAATGCGTGGCGATGCGTGAGCCCCTGCGGGATCGTCGTACGCTTCAAGCAGCGTGCGCTTCGCGGGGATCTCATGGTGGTGCATGGCCACGCGTAGCCAACGGTCTTGAGCTTGGCTTCAAACTCTTCGTAGAAAACGGGCGGCTGATGCCGAAGAGTGTGGAGTTGGAAGCCGAGTTGATAGCCATGGAGCTTCTCCGGCCACTTTTCAGGGTCAGCTTCAATGACATAGCGCTGGTCCACTTGAGCTACCTTTGTGACGCGTCGATAGATCGCGAGGCCGTAGAGCGTAATGTCGTCGTTCTCAACGTTGTCGGCTGCCTCAGCGACCGTGGCATCGTGGTGACGAGCGACGGAATCAAAGCCCAGCGCGTCCAAGGAGGCCTTTTGCATCGGGTCGAGCGCCACCGTCCGAAGCGAGACGACGATTGCCCCAAGCTCAAGCCCTCGACGAGCGACGGGCCACGGCCACGATGCGGTCGTCGGCACGATAAAGTCGAACGGCACGTCGACGTGCCCAAAGAGACCAAAAAACGTCGTGAGCGCTTCGATGACGACCGTCCATGCCCGCCGAATGGGCGACGGCAACTCGGCGTACAGAGCTGCGTGATCGCGCAGCTCCGTCGCAGACGGCAAGAGCTCTCGCGGGCCCACGTCATCGTCCGTGCGGGCCGCCACGGCAGCGAGAATCGCGTCGACGTCCGCCTTCGTTGTCGGCGGTAAGAGGTGCAGCGCCATTGCTTGCGTGAGCTGCTGGTAGAGCTGCCCAAGGTGCAAACCGTGGAGGTCCGATGGCCAATCGGGCGTGAGCGGAACCTCGAAACCATTCGGCACCGACGTTGACTCGTTGACGTGGGCGTAGTGGCAAAGGCCGCGGACCGTGCGTGCCCATGTCGTTGGCGAGTTGAAATCCAACTGCATCTTGTAGATCGCGAGGCGCTTGTCCTCGGGCAGCACGTCGTACTTGATGCCGAGGTACCACACCAGTTGGCCCAAACCAAAGCCATGGTGCTCTTCCGGCCACGCGGCGTCCAGAGGCACACAAAAGTCGCGGGGCACGCTGCGGCCGCCGACGTTGTTCTGGAAGCACGAGAGGAGGCGCAGAACGCATGGCCACGTCAGCAGTTCGCGGAAAAGGCCGAGGTCGTGCAAGACGTCGGCTTCGACCGACCCGAGCCAATAAAAGTGGCTACGGAGCACGCGCGGCGCGTACGCAAGTGCCACATTGGCCAGCTCGGGCTGCCCCTCGTCTCCAAGCGGCACAGCAAAGTCGACGGGCACTTCGAGATCACCGTGGTGATCTTGGTACGTCTGAAGCGCCTGGACAAGCCATTCAAGCTTGACCAACTTGACGTGCTTCTCGAATCGCGGGACGACTCCAGTCGCCGCCGTCGCGAAAACGGGCATTCTGAAATGGTTTGGCTCCAGCGACCACGGGAACCCGAGCTCATCGAGCTGCTGGAAGCACTCCGACGCGTGCGTCAGCGCCAAGGAACGGAGATTGTGTGCAGCACCGCCGAGGTTGTACGAGCGCATGGCCAGAGGCCAATTGTCGTCGTTCGGCACCTTGAACGTCTTGATCATGCGGCAATGGCCCATCCGTTGCCGGAACTGAGCAAAGAACTCGACCTTGGTCGTCCAGGGCACCGCCACCATCGCGCTTGTCAAATCCAAAAATGAACCATCGACGGTCGCCATGCCGGCGCGAAACTTTCCGCAGGAGAGCAGCGCTGGCGCCATTGGTTTGAGAGAATTATCCCAAAACGCTCGACGCGTTATTTAAAGTTTCGAGCTCAACGCGCATGCGTCACACGGACAGCTCCTTCGTTGCAACTGCAGGACGTCTTTCCAAGTGCAGCAGGGCTGGCAAGACATGGCACTGTCATGGCTACCGTGGTACTGCAGCTCGAAGGGACGGATGTTTACGAGACACGAAAGCCAATCATATCGCTCGAAAAGAGCTAATATCAGCCAATTGGCGCTCTGCAAAGATGCTCATGGCAACACGTCCACACGCCAGGTTTCGTGGCTCTTGAGCTTGGATGTTGGCTTGAGCGAGCAGGTCTCGACTGAAAAGGGCACCGACTCCAAGAGCAGCGTGCGCACCTTCTCGATACCGAGGAGCCATATATGTCGCTTGCTCCGAAAGCCACCATCGAGCAAGCAACTGGATGCGCCGCATTGGCACAGCACGACCGGTGGTTCGCAATGTTACGGTCCAGCACGCCGAGCGCCGCGACTCGCTCGCGTCAATCCAAAGCACGTCCTCGAACGGGTACTCACAATGTATGTTGAAGGCGAATCGTGTCAACTGGGATGTGGTGTAGAACCTCGCTTGCTCCGTCGTCGCCCACTCATTTTTGCTATGCTACCTCATGGGTCGTCGGTGGCCTCGTGTGCCTTCTCAACGGCGTTGCGTACATGGAGCTCAGCTGCCGCGTACCGAGCTCTGGCAGCACCGCGTACCACGCACTTGGTGAGCTTCCCGCGACCGTCGCTGGGTGGCATCTCGGGCGCCGGCGTCGCGCGCAGCTGGGGCACCAAGGTCCAGGCGTCCTGCGAAGCGACGTTTTCATCCCGCGCGTTTACATGGCTCAACGAAGACTACTACAGCGTTGCGTCGGTGCTCGTTGAGAGCGCGTCCGTCATCATTATTGTGCTCCTTGGTGTCCCCGTCGGGACGCGCTTTGTAAATATCATGACGACGGCCAAGGTGCTTCTCGTACTCTTCATCCTCTGCGCAAGCGTGTCCGTCTTTACGATCTCCAACGCGACGCCTTTCTTGCCGCCACGCAATGCCAGTATATATGGGCCGCAAGGTCTCGTCGTCGGCGTTACCCAGGCGTTCTTTGGCTACATTGGCTTTGACGAGGTGTGCTGCCTCGCCGCCGGGATGCAGTCGTGCGCCGACGTTGTCGACTTTGCGTCGGCCTTCGAAGCCAACGGGACGGCGCACATCGTTCGCGTCGGCGACGATGCCGGTCGTTGACTTTCTGAGCTTCCTCGCACAAATCGACGGTCTTTTGCCGCCCATCTTTGCGCGCGTCGACGGCGACGGACGGCTGCGGGATGGCACACTCCTCACTGGTGGCGTCTGCACACTTCTCGCGTTCTGCGTACTCGGGTGTCTTTGGATGCTCGTCGGTGCGGGCATCTACTTTGCGCACGGCGCGCGCTACAGCGTCCATCGACAGACGCAGGTTCACGTTGACGAGTCATTCGGTCTTGTTTCTGCATCTGCCAAGGCCATAGAGCCTGCCACAGACCTTACGCGTGTCCATCTTCGCACGTAGAGCCGATTGACCACCAACCACAAGGACTAGCTACAGTAACTCGAATGGGATTTTGGACGCGCTTCCGTTTAAAGACGGCTGGTTTCAGGCGGCGGGGCGGTGCCAAGCTCCCTACGATACATGCGTGAATTGATAGCATCAACGAGTCGACACGCGCACCCGTCGCGCGTGTAGAAGAGCATGTAGGCTTCGGCACCGAGCACCGTGGCTTCGGAGACGCGCTGGACGAGCGAGTCGGATGTGTAGTACCACGCGTCGGGATACCGCACGTACGCGACGTAGTGGCCGCCATACCGGTTGCCCATGTGCACGATCACCGCTTGCAGGTGGTACACCGTCTTCATGTGCGGTCCGTACGCAGCTACACACCAGACTGGATTAAGCCCTTCATCAAGAACACAAATCGCACGCTGGAGCACAAAGGGCGCGACGTCCAGCGTCGTTTCGAACGCAACGTGGCTGCTGTTCTTGCGCAGCTTTCCGAGGCGCTAAACAGAGGCGCATGCGTTCTCCGCCTCTTTGAGAGTGAGATCGTATACCTTTAAATGCAACGGAAGCACGTAGGGCAAACCAAAGAGCTGCATTTGGAGACTCGCGTCTTGGAACGAGGCAGCGTCGGTAGCCTTGTTGCACGGCTCACAGCGGTACCCTGACGACGTGGCGGGATCGGCCACGAGAGTATTGACCGCCGTGAACGCGCTCAGACAGTCGAGAAGCGTCACGTCGTCGTCGGCGCTGCCAGGTTTCTACGGCGTCGACATACATCATAGTCCTTGATGAAGGTGGGAGACGAGGCGCGTACGGGAATCGCAAGGCTGAGGCTAATCGCATCGTCGTACGACGTGGAGACGTTTTGGCACGTATGGCACGTGACCGAGCTGGTGAACGCATCAGAGACGAGTCTTTTAACATCATTGCGCGTACTTGACGAGGGCCCCGAGTAGGGCGGTGCGCACGAAGCTTGGGTGACCAACGACGTTGCTGCTTGCTTCGGGTTGGCGGCTACCTGCGAGCACAACCTCGTCGTTGCTGAGTTTGAGCTTCTTGGCAACGAGCGCTTGGATCTCGTCCATCGTCGCATTGGCGGGCGCGAGGAGACTCAATGTGCCATCTTTGGCTTCGTCCGTCTTGACAAAGATTTGCTGGAGCCCGTTATTGGTTGACGACGACGGTGCTGCCGTCGAAGGAGCTGCGAATTCGTCGTCGATGGCCCATACCAGCGCCAAGTAGAGCTCGTAGGCATCTTGCTGAGCGCGGCCGCGGAACTGGCGGCTCGTCTCCCGCACTGCCGAGAGAAGTGCGTTCGGCGTGTACGTGCTCTTTTTGGACGTGCTCGATACAGTTGCGCCTTGGACAAAATCTCTAGCAAGAGTGAAGTGTGAGAACGGAAGCAAGAAAATGGTGTGCACAAGAAGGCTTGGGTGACGGGGGCTTTGGGAAGGCTTCGAGCATGAGCAACAACGTCTTCGTGCAGCGCCGACGACGTAAAGATGCTTCGCAGCGACTGGATCGTTGAGTTAAAGTAGCACGTGTTCCCAAGGTTCGCAAGACCTGCATTCACCACGTATTGAGATGACATGCGAAATGAAGTTAGTTGAAACTCACCCGCGACGGCGAGAGGCTCCTTGGACGATGACGATGGAGCGTCGACAGCTTCGGTTTTGGACTTTTTGTTCGCTTTGGCCTTGCTCTTCTTCGGAGGCTTGTCGTCGCGAGGCGGCGTCTCTGGCGTCGGTGCTGCGCTGCTGGATGGGGACGTCGAGGCGTCAACCGTCGCATACAGATGCATGCGGTTGGCTTTGGCCACGATGAGCTCGTCGTACGACTTGCGCACGTCCGAGAGTGCGGTCGCGACCTTGTCGCTGACGCCATCAACGACAGCGTCGCACTTGGTGCACCTACAGGCGTCTCAGCCTAGAAGAAGCGCATCAAGCGGATACCACACGTCTTGTGTGCCCATGCGAAAGAAGCAGCAGTGCTTGACATTGTCCCTGAATCCATCCGTGTTAGCACGCGACGAACCACGCGCCGATATACCGAATGTGATCCAGGCAATGACCATGCTTCTCAACCAAGCAGCCAACAAAACCGCACGTGATGCATAGAGCATTCTGCTTGACGTCGTCGAGCGAGCTGGCTAGCTTGACGTGCTTGGCGTGTTTCTTCTTGGGTTTCGTCGACCCGCCGTCGCATTGCTATGCTGACACGTTAGGCGGCCGCTTCACAAGGAGAAAGGGGCGTACTGTACAGCAGTGGAGGCCGCCAAGCTTGAGCCGCTTGCGTACGTGCGAGACGCTGAGTGCTGCCGCGACGTGGCGACACTCCTTCGGGGCCATCTTGACTGGTCGCTCGATGATGCGCCGTTGATTGTCCGGATACGATTGACCAATCAGACACGCGTCCATTCCATGACCTTGCCGTTCAAAACCGATCCACAGCTATGGGTAGACCGCGGCCTTGAGCGTTCCGCAGCTTCTCATGGCGGCGTAGGACGCTGCTCACCACTGCAGCTACTACTACTAATCGTAGCAGCTGCACATATCCATGCGTCGACCAAGGTGGAGGTGCTCGTCAGCGACGTTGAACTGGCGCAGGCCAACACGTCACACTGGCGACGCCTCGACGGCTCCTCGTCGGGTAGCAACGCCACAACGCTCTGTGACCTCTCGCTTTTCGAGGCGTACCTCGCCAGCTTTGGTACATGGACGCGGCATGTGCATGATGGACCAGGACTATTGTGTAGGTCACGACTTGAACGTCAACGCGTCGCTTTGTGGCGCCAGCATCAAGTACCTGCGCACACGCCTCGCCGGTGGCTTTGGCCCCGTGCTGCAGTCGGACATGGAAGTAGTCATGTGCTCGATGCCGTGCCTCTTGAGCGACCTGCTTCACGTCGCGGCCATGGAGGCGTCGCACTGCTCGTGCACCGAGCTCTCGTCGTCAAGCTACATCACGCAGGACTTTTGTCGTGAAAACTCGGGTGCGCAGCCTCGGCTCTTGGTGATTCTCATTCTATCGATATGGTTGTGCGTAGCGCGCATGCTCTGCAGTATCCTTGGCGTATGCGGGACGTGGGGCTGCGGCCTCCATGACTTTATGTGCCCGCGATACGAGTGGGACCGACACTACCCCTGCGCTGGCGCGTTCACGACACCGTCGCAGCTTCTTTTGTTGTGCTTGGGGCTATTGCATGTGCTACTCAGCGGCTAAATGCTATGAATGAAGCTACTACGTATATTTTTCGAGTCATGTCGTGACACCGACGGGCGAGCCGGGGGCGAAGTACTGGCGCTGCTTTGCCCACGGCAGAGTGTCGGGAAAGATGAACGTCGGGTACAAGGACGCGCTGTACGATGCCGTCGATAAGAGGCTCTGCGTCGCGTAGTCGAACTCGAGGCTCACGACACTGCCGTTCACATCCAGACACGGTGGCTACGGCACATCGAGAATCCAATTGCGTGGTTGATAGTACCTGGGAGCAGTAGTACCAAGCAAGTACATCGTGCTTCTCCCAAGCGCCGCCAGTCGCACTTGTAAAGCCCTATGCACTCGTGACCCTCAATATCGCCTCGGTTCCCATATACACGTACGACAAACGCCAAGTCGCGAGGAAGGCGCAGCGCCGCCGCCACGTTGATAGGCACGGCCAGGAGTGGCACATTGTTTGCGATACCATCGTCAAGAAAGACGACGAGGCATCCGACGCGCCGCGACTCGGAAATGTCTTTGAGCGTCGAGACAATGCTGGTCGAGGCAGCGAAGTAGTTGAAGTATTGCAGCGGGAGAGTGTTATAGTAGGTGATCTTGACGACGTGGATCGAGCCATCGGCCAGGTCTACAGGTACAGGCACGGCCAGCTCTATTGGTGCGCCCGTGCTTCCTGGTGGCTGCAAGTAGACACTACAGATTAATATCAGAAAAAATCACTCTTCCGTCGCGACGCCTACCTCATGTGGTCGACAAAGAGGGCGTTCGCGGCGCTGGATTGCGGCCACGTGTGAAAGACAACAGCAATCGAGTTGGCTATGCCGCGCCAGCCCATGCCCCCTCGCCCGAGCGCACTTGTCATGTTCGGATGGCCGTGCAGCACAAAGGCAAAGCCGTCACCGCCATGCACAAAGCACGACTAGCATCCGCCACCATAGCTATATATTCCGAGAAGCGTAGAGTACCTGGTACGTTTTTGTGTTGAAATTCTGGTCCTTGACGTCGAGGCAGCGCTTCGAGTGGTCGGTAATCTAGACCGCAAATATATACGGGTGTGCTACGATATGTGCTTTGCCTGGAACGTGAACCGCGTCTCGAAGCCATCAAGTACATTCAGTGGATCGTTGAACCAGGTCGAGGACACTTGGCTCGGCTGGGAAGCTGTGAGGCTAGCGTTTGTTGCCGTCGAGTACAAAGAGACTGATGTCACACACCGAAGTCGCACGGGGCATTCCGTCGCTAGCGACGGTGCATATACATCCCGGTGGCCGAACATGGCTGACTGGGCAGCAACCGCTGCTGTCGTGCTCAGTGTTGACGTCTCGGTCGACTCGTACTGCACTTGGTCGAGCGTAAACGTCTAACGTCGACGCTGGTTCACTTCAGAGCAACACAAGCAGACGATCGACCTGGGATACATTGATCGCTGCAAACAACAAATCGTTGGTAGCGTACGTTGCGCTGTACATGCTCTACGCCAGAATGAGGCGAATGACAGTAGGTTGAGGTGTCGGACAATCGGAGTGCGGGCGCAGTTGGTCGTTGCGCTGTTGCCATTGAGGCTCAAGCCCGTCGTCTCGTTGAAATCGGGGTAGAAGAAGACTATGCAGCTCGAATCAAGCGCTAGCACCTTCTTATATGAATGCACCGCCGCTGACGGTCGTTGGCAGAAGGAGCGCGAGCCGCATCATGACCTTTCGTCGCCGTTGGATCTGATAACAAAAGGTAGGAAACAGAAATAGTGTTGATTCGACCCTAACAGCACAGCAACGACAGCACAGGCAACTCAAACGAAGAACACATTTGAATCGCGAATCCTTGAGTCTACTTGTACGCAATACATGTATATGCAATGCATCTATATGCCTCGGCACTCGCTCATCTCGACCATAGCAAGTTGTCCGATCAACGCTATGCAATCCCAGTGGCCCAATGGTACTATAACACTGTTTACGATCCCATGTTTACACTATCTTATGTAAAACGATCATATGCATTTAGTGTATGATGGGTGTGTCTATCCGGATGTGGCGCCCATCACATCGTGCCGTGCTGCACTCAAATGTTGCTCACGATCCTCACGGGCGAGGGCCTCGCGGCTGGCGACAGCGACGGCTTCAGCGATCCCTTCGTCCGCGTGCGTGCTAATCTACCTAGCCTCATTATGGCATCTTGGCCAACGATCTCATGACATCGCTGACGTAGGTGCTCTACGAGGGCAAGGAGGTCGCGCGCACCAGCCACTGCAAGAAGACGCTGAACCCCGAGTGGAACGCGCAGATCCTGCTGCCGCTCTCCGAGTCGTGGGACCTCGCTGTCGGTACGCTCGTTCCTTGCCTTACGCCCTCTCATCACGCCTCATGTAGCGTTCATCGAGTGCGAGGTCTGGGACAAGGACGAGCTCGCGACCAAGGACTTTCTCGCGTCGTGCCGCATTTGCCTCAGCGTCATCCAAGACACGCCCGAGCCGACCATCGTCAAGTGCAAACTCGTCAAAGGGCCGCTGCCCCTGGGCTACGTCCTCGTGCAGCTCGCCCTCGCGGACGACGAGCGTGTGCTCCTTAATAAGGCCCGGCGCGCCGACGCCCGCGACGTCTTTCCACCGCACAACGCGCGCTTCCAGCACCTCTACGCACCGATCCCGCGCAAGTGGCATCCGTACGCCCTCCCTATCGATGGCGATTGTGTCGATGGTGTCGGCGCGTAGGCTCCATGAGAGCGTCTTGCCGTCGAACGAGAAGATCTTGTACGTGGTCGAAGAGGTCGCGCTGACGTTCCACGTGACCGAGATGAACCAAGGCGTCTTGGCGCTCATGGTGCTCTCGACGTTCCGGTTGTGGTTCATCCCGTACCACCCGGTCCAAGGCTTATCGCACGAAGACGTGCATACGATTCCGATTGGGAAGATCTACAAAGCGTCGCTCTCCCAGAGCAAGCGCAACCAAAGCACTGTGCACGGCCTTTTGATCGAAAACATGGTACCGACATAACACTCTTGAAAAAAACTCTTGGAGATGTGTAGGACGCTGCGTACTACCACGTGTCGCTCTCAGCCTCGGCGCGGTACGGCGAAGGCGACAAGGACATGGAGGTCAAGCGCATCAAGACGCTGAGCCAAATCGTCACCGAGATCGAGTGGCTCCAAGCTGAAAACAACTTTTGCGCCTTCACGGACCTCAACCATAGCATCCTTTCGCACGACGCAGGTGCGATGCAATGAGCTACCGTATCCTACTGTGGCGAGTAGACGGTGTCGCGTGCCCAATGAGCCCGCGCCAGCATTTGCTCAGCGACTCGACGCAGTACGATCAATCTTGTTTCTCAATGACACCGAGTCGTGTAACATTAGACGCTCGAGCTACTCGGCAGATGTGCGCGGCACGATGCTAAGCCCGACGGGCTCGGTCATCTCAGGGCGCCGACGCATTCGGTACGTGCCGAGTGTCGAGTTTGGCCGCATTGGCGCGACGGGTCACCCGGCGTGGCGCGAGACGGAGCTCAATGCGTCGTACGAGCTCTGCCCGACGTACCCGAGCACTTTGTTCGTGCCAACGTCCATGTCGGACGATGCGCTGACCGAGGCGGCCAAATTCCGCTCCAAGCGCCGCCTCCCCGTGCTGACGTGGCTGCACCCGCGCACGGGCGCGCCGCTGTGCCGGTCCAGCCAACCAAAGTCGGGTGTCCTGCGCATGAACAACAAGGAAGACCGCGAGCTCATGTGGGCGATCCGCGACGCTGCGTATGCTCCGACGGACGACCTCGGGCGCCCAAAAGCGTCGGCCGTCGTGCACATCGTCGACGCGCGTCCAGAAATCAACGCGAAAAGCAACGCACTTGCAGGAAAAGGCCACGAGTCGGCCAAGCATTACGATCGGGACGGCGTGGCCTGTGCTTGTATGTATCTCGACTCAAAACAAAGCGATTTCAGCTCAAAGCGACGTAGCGATTGCGTTCATGGGCATCGACAACATCCACGTTGTGCGCACGTCGTTCAACGTGCTCAGTCAAGCCTTGTACCAAGTCGACGACACGACGTTCTTTTCCACGCTCCAAAAAGCCGGTATTGTATCAATCTATCAGGATCATGCGTTGATACGCCAACCGTGATGCAGGTGGCTCGAGCATATCACGAGCATTCTCCAAGGCGCGACTGAGGTGGCGTCGCACCTCGAGCGTGGCGACGCAGTCCTCGTCCACTGCAGCGACGGCTGGGACCGCACGTCGCAACTCAGCGCCCTTGCGCAAATCATGCTCGACCCATACTACCGGACGCTCGAGGGCTTTGCGATCCTTGTCGAGAAAGACTGGTGCAGCTTTGGGCACATGTTTGCCAAGCGCTGTGCGTTCCCAACGTCGGACGACACATCGCCTGTCTTTCTCCAGTTTCTCGATGCCGTCTACCAGCTCACGCTCCAGTTCCCGACGCACTTCCAGTTCAACGAGGTGTTTCTGGCAACGGTCGCAGACGCCGTCTACACCTCTTGGTATACTGCAATTCTTGATACTGTCGCGTGAGGATTGTTGCTAGGTTTGGTACGTTCCAGAAAAACTCGGAAAAGGAGCGCCGCGCGTTCTTGGACACCGTGGCGACCGTGAGCGTGTGGGACGCGGTGCGTGCATCCACCGAGAGCTACCTCAACCCGCTCTTCAACTCGGAGCGACACGACCCCATGATCCCTGTGAGCAAGGTCCGCCTCATGCAGCTCTGGACAAGTCAGTACCAGAAGGTGACACGAAAACCCATTGCCAATATTAACAAAGCTCGATGATATAGGCCATCAGTCACATGCGACTCCAGCAGCGCGAAATGGAAATGCTTGCGATGATCCGGACGCAGGATCACCAGCTCTCGCGCTTGACGGGCATGCTCTCATCGGAACAAGCCATGAGCTTGCGCATCTTGCAGCTCCGCAACGAGATCCAGCAGCTCCACCGCCTCATTTCCATCTCAAAAGATATTCCAGAGAGCATTTCTCTGCCGGGCAACCCAACAGCCAAGACGTCGATCTTGCTACGCCGCGTAAGCAGCGCCCTGAGTCCAACGGCCGCCAGCGGCAACACTGTGCCGCTGACGTCGTCGTCCTCGTCGTCCTCGTCCGTCTCGTTTGAAGTGCCCACGGGGCGCGCTCGAAGCAACAGTCTCAAGAAGCGCCATAGCTTTGCCAACTTGCTCGGCAAAGCGCCGTCAACCATCAGCGACTCTGGGATCTCGTCGCTGAAGAGTGAGATGCAAGAGCTCGAACGCCAACTCGACGACCTCCAGCTGCTCGCGCGCAGCATGGACGACGCCGCGCACCGCCGCATGCAAACGTACGTTTGGTTCTGTCGCAACGACGAATTCATTGTGCCGTAGGCTTCGCTTTGAAACATTCAACACGCCGTGTGAGATCGTGTCGGTGAATGACGACGCCGAGCTGATGGTGTCGCCCATGGTGCTCTCGCCGCCGCTCTCGGTGACGAACCGTGCGACAATGACGTCCGCGCACCTCGTCAACACTTCATCGAACACGACGCGGCGCGTTGCCCTCCTTGCAATGACCGACTTTGGCACGCACCGGAGCCTCTCGGGCGTCAACGGACGCAACGCGCGCGCGGCGTCATCGCCGGCGTTTGCCAACTCGCCAAGCGTCATGGCGCGACCGACGATCACGAGCTTCAATTCGCAGCCCGTGTGGGAGCTCGATAGTGACGCCGCGGCCTGCAAACGCTGCAAGAAAAAGTTCATCGCGGTCTACCGCAGTCGGCACCACTGCCGGTGCTGCGGCTACGTCTTTTGCGGCCGGTGCGTCCCGACATCCTATTGGTCCTTCTCATGCGTCTGTACGATTGTGTAGCTGCACGAACCAACGCATGCAGCTGCCTGAATTTGGCTACTACGAAATGGTGCGCGTGTGTCGCCTCTGCTACACGACAGGCAGCGACCCGTAGAAGCCATTCGCAAGCTCTTCGAAGCGGTGTCATTGCCTGTATGATATGGGTACCGGGGTATGAACGAAGAGGAATTTGTTTTCGATCTTGCGATTTCCCATGGGAGTGGGAAGTTTAAATTTTGAGCACAGAGCACTCGCTAAAGAGCTCGTGCGGGTCTCACGCATACCGTATCGTCGACCGACTTGTCGTCGTCGTCATCGTCGCCGTGCGACTCCATGAGCACGTGGTGGCCGTCGTCCATGATGACAACCGAGTCGCGCTGTTGACCCCACGGCTCGTCATCCTCTTCTTCCGCGATGTGCCCAGACGTGATGAAGCTGTCGTTGAGCACGTCGCGATCATGCTGGCGGCCAATCCCAAAGATACTCGAGACACTCGAGACGGAGCTCGAGACGGAGCTTCCAATGACAACCTCCTTCGTGCGCCCGAATAGGCTTTGCGAGTACCCGTTCGAGGACGTGCTTTGGATCGACACGAGCGAGTCGCGGCGCTCGGCGTGCTGGATCGTGACATTGCGAACGATCGGTCGTGTTGTGCCAATGCGGCGCATTCAGTTGCTTGCTCGATGGTGGCAAGAGGAATGTTTGAGTACGGCTCTTTCATCTGCACTGGCCCATTGTCATCTTGCGGAGGAGTTCGCTACATTTGCTGCTACGATATACTACCTGCTGTGTCGCTGCAGAAACCGCAGGCGACCGAAGAGCGTATACTCCTTGCGCGTTGACACGAGCTGTCAACACGATCTTTGCAGAGCGCCAATTGGCTGATATTAGCTCTTTTCGAGCGATATGATTGGCTTTTGTGTCTCGTAAACGTCCGTCCCTTCGAGCTGCAGTACCACGGTACGACGAGGGAGCACAATGATGACGAGCGCCCTCTCAACGAGAGCGCGTTCGTCATCATTGTGCTCCTTGTCAACCTTGTGGCACCACCTTTTGTCCAGTCGGTGGGTTCCTGCTTCACACGCAGGAGGTGCGCGGTGCGAGCTCCGTAGGTGTTGTCCCTTTCTTCTCTTTCCCATTGGCATCGGGACCATCAAGGCATGACGTCTGGACAATGACCAAGCGAATCTTGCCCATATCCTCGAGCACGTTTGATAGGCCAGCTATGCGTATCTTGCCCATAGCATTGAGCGCGTTGATTGGCCAGCTATGCGGTTGCAGCACGACACAGATGATATGGCAAGGCCACAACGCAAAAGCACGTGTGGAGAGCCCACGTCATTGCTCACGTCGACATGGGTCTGAACGACACGCTGGGCGACGCCATCGCGGCGACTATTCGCCTCCAAGACGCTGTCGGCCGTGCCAACGAGGAGGAGATCGACGTTGCGGTCTCGCAGTTCAACGAGCTTGCCTCGGCGCTGGGCGTGTTGCACTGGATCGTGGATGACTTCAAGCGCCAAGACCCGTGGACGCTGGTCCAGCGACTCCTCGTCCTCGAGAAGATGCTGAAGAAGATAAGCGACCAAGTGTCGGCCGTGGACGTCGCGCCGACAGACGACGACGTTGTGGCCCGAGCGAGCGGCGGCGCTGCCCTCTTCGGCCACTGCTTTGGGTTTTCTGGTTCGCCCAAGGGCGTCGAGGCGGCCATCGTGCAGCCGCCGACGCATTGTGTGCTGGCAGCCCCAACGCTCGGCAGAGACATTACAGACGCGTGGTTTCCCAGTACCGCCGCAGCCAAAAACTTTTGCGCTGCCGTCCGATCGAGCGGTCCGGCGCCGCATCCCGATCTGCCGCTGCGTGGGAGATCGGTCGTGCACGTGACGTATGCAACCGTGCCCATGAAGTCGTTCAACTTGGACGTCCTCTCGGTGCCGCTTACCGCGTCGGCGATGGCAGAGGCCGCGAGCGTGACCAACGTCGCGACGGCCGAGGACTTTCTGCTCGAGTATGGCTCGCACGTGTGCAGCGGCACCTTCCACGTCGGCGGCATTATCTGGAAGACGGTCCATGTGACCACGCGAAGTGACGAAGCGACGGCGTTGCTGCAGGCGGCGTGCCCGGCGATGGCGAGCTGCGACTTTTCGATCGACTACAGCAGCTTTCCGTACCAGAGCAGCATCGATGTGTGCAAGAGCACGCTACCCGACGAGCTCAAAACGCGATGCGAGATAGCGACGGAGATTCAGTGCACGGGCCCGGACGCGCTCAGTTTTGCGATCTTCGAGCAGCGACTCGCTCTCGACCCCGCGACGTGGCACATCGTTGATCGTCCGACGACGCGCGTCGGCGTCTGGGAGCTCTTGGCGGCCGCTGGTTTCGAGCGCGCTGCCACCCTCGTGCGCGATGCGTGGGTCGCCCTCGTCTCAGGAAGCGACTTGCATTCGGACGTTGCTGCTGCCGTGCATGCAGCGCACGTCGAGGCGTGGCTAACCGATCGGACGTTTGGCACAGAGCTCAAGCATACGCGTGTCGACAGCGCAGACGCCGCCGCCGAGACCATCGCTCGCCAGATCGACGCTGCCACTATGTCGTCGACAGACGAGCGCTGGTCGACGTGATCTTGCTCGCGCTTCGCTTCGACGCTGAGTTCCACCATACATTTTTGGTCGACTTGTTGCAGGAACCGGGTCTGCACGCGGCTTTGCGTCGACTCGTTGCGGCCAACGACATGATGGCGATGCTCGAGCTCGGAACGATCTACGCGCTCGTTCTCAACGCCGTGCTGGCCGAGGCAGGTATCAACCTGGACGCGACGGTCGAGGAGGGCCTCCATCGTGCCGGGCAGCTGGCCGCGCTCAAGAAGGATGCCATGAAGCTCCGAGACCCGATGTACTATTGGCAGGTCCCAGCGCTGGACGAGCGCGACGTGCCGGTCGCAGTCAAGATCCTTCTCGGTGCATTTCACGAGGCGGCGATGCCCAATCGCGCGCTCTTGACTGCGCGCATTGGCGAACTGATCACGACGACCGTCTCTGCCACCGACCACGCGGAGCTTTTTGGTGTCGCCCACAAGTTTGGCTGCACCGACGACGGCTTTCAGAGTGTCCTCACGCACGAGCACATACTCGCGATGGCCGATGCGATGTTCAAGGCTGTCGAGGACGGTGAGACGACCGAGAGCTCCGACGATGAGATGCCGGCCGCCCCCGATCTCGTCAAGAGCGAGCCTACGGTCGACGAGCCACCCAGTCCGATGCTCGAACAGCCCATGAGCCATCTCTTGACGGTCGTGTCCAAGCCCAACAAGACGACGGACCTTCCCGGGCTCATTTGGTACACGCTCAAGCACCGTCTGAGTCTGGTCAAGGAGCTTTACAGCACAACGTCGGGCGTGAAGCGCAAGCGCATGGACCCCGTCGTCTTGGATGGGCTCTTGAGTCTCGTGGCCTCGCTGACACCGGCCGCGCGTGCCGAGGTGCACCGTCTTCTTCTCGACCGTCGCTACCTCGTGCCCTTTCTTGTCCCGTCGACGCACGATACGCTCCGAAGCGAAGTGTCTGCGCTGCGCCTCGTCGAGACGCGTCTCCTCGAAGGCAAAGCGTCGCTCATGCGCGATACCTCGGTCACGCGCGTGGCGGTCGTCTCGGAGCGGCCCACGAAAAGCAGCGTGACCAAGGACTGGATCAAGCACGTCTTTCACGTCGACTCGGTGCACTGCCTCGACCGCACGCACGGCAACAACGTCACGAACCTCCCGGTTGTCACCGAGCTCGGCTGGGGGTTTGTCAAGGCGAACTCGGAGTTTACGACCGTCATGGTGCTCCACGTCATTGGCGACTACATGCGTTGGAGCCGTTCATTAAGGAGTTTGCCGACGTCTTGGTCGTCGACACGGGGGCCAAACCCGTGCGCTTGACGCTGCCCCAGGGCACGGTGCTGCAGTGGTGTCACTCGAAAAAGGCGAGGACGACAAGACGTACGTTGGGTCGATCGGACTCGCATGTTCCATGTCGTCGTCCTTCGAGCGCATCACGGGATACATTTTGCGCGTGCCAAACGATGCGTCAAAGCGGCTGCCGCTGCCGAGCGACGTCCAGCGGGTTGGTCGATGCGACAGCGAGTGGCGAGTATGCTGGATCAAACGAACTTTGCGACGCTTCGCACCGAGACGCTGGTGCTCCAGCAGCGATTTGCTTGCGAGTCGGAACTGCGCATTGCGCTCCAGCGGGAGACGAACGTACCCAACCAAGCGATGCTGCGCCAGCGCATCGCCTCCGATGAAGCGGTCTACAAGAGAGCTGTGCGCATGGTGTCTCAAACGCCACTGCTCGTGTACTTCTTGTACACTCTCGAACATCCGGATGTCGCGGTCCGCGAGATGCGCATCATCGACCTCGAGCGTCAACTCGCCGAGAGATGCAAAGCGATTACGGCCAAGGCGCGCGCAGAGTGCGAGTGGGCGTTCGTGGCCCTCAGCGAAGTCGACGACGATGCCACGCGAGCCGCGTACGCTGCGGCCCTTGCGACGTTGGGCAACACGGCCACCGGTCTCGAGCATCTTTGGCGCGAGCTCTCGCACATGTACACGGCCGACCCCGACGTTTACGCGCATCTGCCACCGCTGGCGGTCCAGCACCTCCTCGACGGCTTTCCGCTCGAGCTCATGGACGGCGACGCCGGCATGGCCAACGACAAGTGGATCCGCGCCATCCTTCGCTGTCTCGATGAGGCGTTGCCCGCCGACACGCGCGTCTTCGTGCTCTCGGTCATGGGCGTCCAGTCGTCGGGCAAGTCGACGTTGCTCAATAGCATGTTTGGCGTCCGACTCCGGACGAGCGTCGCGCGCTGCACACGCGGTGTCAACTTGCAGCTCCTCGCGTGCGACCATGGCGGTGCGTACGACTACATTTTGCTCCTGGACACGGAAGGCATCCAGTCGCCCGAGTTCGTCGGCGTCAAAGGCAACGTGTGGCGCGACAACCGCATGGCGTCCGTGGCGATCTTGCCCGCGGATGCGACCATCATCTTGACACAGGGCGAGTCGACCAACACGATCAACGACGTGCTGCCGATTGTGCTCTCGGCCTTTGCCAACTCGGAGCTCGCGGCCGCGTCGGGTGGCCACCTCCGGACAAAGCTCTACTTTGCGTTCAGTCAGATCGATGTGACGCAGAAAAACCGCATGGCCAAGATGCTGCGCGTACTCGTCAACTGTCTGCGCAGAAGCGCCGAGCAGATTGCGACCGTGCGGCAGGCGACGGCCACGACGTTTCTGCACGACTTTTCCGCCGACATTTCGGACGAAGCGACCAGTGCCATTCGCTTCTTCGGTCTCTCGCAAGGCCAGACGACGCCGCCCCACGATGGGCCGCTGCCCGATTTTGGCGACCGTCTCGTCCGCTTCCGAGACTACATGCACGCGCGGGCTGTCGAGGACGAAGCGTGGCGAGCGCGGACCTTTGGCGAGCTCAGCAAGAGCTTGGATTTGGTCTGGCTGTGTCTTCAGAGCGCCGACTTTGAGCTGGGCTTTGCGTCCGCCCACGAACGCGTCATGTACGACCGGCTGGTGCAAGCCATGGCAGGGTACACGCAAGCGCTCGCCACGATCTACAGCGAGGCCTTTGACGCGGTGCTGCAGACGATGAGTGCGGACCGCGCCGCTAGCAAGGCGCCGGATGGCAACCGCAGCCACAAGTACGAGCTTCTCCTCGCGCGTCACGTGGAGAGCGCGGTCGGTGCGCTGGACGCTGTCGTGGCGACGGCGCTGGGCCAAAACGAGTTTGCCAAATGGGCCATCGCGATGGAAATTACGTGGGCGGACAAGAAGCGGCGGCAAGCGTCGCACTCGGAGCGCCTCGTGCACACGAAAGTCCAGCACCTTTTCGACTGTGACGCGATCATGAAGGCGTACAAGGAAGAGCTGCAAGCGGCCATTGTCGACCACAACGCCAAGTGGGGCCCAGAGACGACGATGGCAGCCTTTGACTCGATCTTTGACGCGATTTTGGTCAAGGCCCGCAAGGCCAATCCGCCGCTCGCCACGCTCGTGCCCAAGCTCGTACATGGCGTCATCCACGACAGCAATATCTTTACCCCCGACGAGCTTCGGCTCTTGACAAGCAGCGACGACGATGATCCGTCCATGCTTCAAAGCGCGCTGCAAGCGGCGAGAAACTCGGTGCGTGGCGCCGACGTCTCGCGCGATGCAGAAGTCGCCAACGCGGTGCGCGATCGCGTGTGCAGCGACCTCGCCGACGTCGACCGCTACGCAGAGAATGTCGCGCTCGCGTGCGTGATGCACGTCAAGCGCCTCTTGGGCGAGATGCAGTTGAAGCCGTCGGAGCGCAAGGTCGGTCTCCGTGCGCTCGACGCGACGCTCAAGTCGGAGCTCCAGCAGCGCCAAGCGCGCTGGGACGCGGTCAACAGTGTCGTCGCCAAGTTTGAAGCCTCCCGGCCGAGCATGCTTCGCTTTGCGCAAAGCGTCTGCGAGGGGCAAAAAGCCGCCCAGCTGCTCTTGACGACCCTGGGCGAGTGGCTCGATCTCCACTTGACAGAGGCGTTTGAGGAAGAAGTCGTGAGCGTTGTCGCCTCCGCGCTCAAGGACGCGCGCTGGGTGCGTGCTGCCGACGCGATGCAGGCCGCCTTGGACATGGACCTTTTGCAGCTCTTGCGGAAGCGGGAGATGGACGCAGTGCTAAAGCACATCAAGCAGCCGGTTGAACATGCCGCGGGTGTCACGAGCCGTCTCGTGTTGGCCCAGGTCCAAGAGTGCCATTTGCGCGTCGCCAAGAAGCTCGTGTGCGACATGGAGGAGAGCATTGTGAGCGCGAGTGCCGCGGCGCGTGACG